TATGTTTCATTTTCATTCTGTAAAATCTAGTTTTATTTATAAGTATGCTGGTAAATTAATAAAAATGGATTTTGATTTGCTTTTTCAAAGTCTCTTATAAGTAAACAAATTTGTATGAAGAGTCAGAATGATTTTTAACAAAGTAATTTTGTAGATGACCAATCACAAAAAAATTTCCAAGTAGCATTTTTATTAAAGAAGCACTTTAATGATGTCAAAAGGCCCGGTCTTGAATTTATCTTTAAAATGTTGAAAACATTATACCTCTCTGTATTCTTGCTTTTTGGGGAATAATGGAATTTCAAATTTAATTTTCTATAAGTTCTTTGCAATTTTTATATAAATGTGTTCGATTTAAAAACTCACGGGTCTATTTCCTCAAGAGGAACTTAAAATTGGGTTGAAATTTACAATCAAGAGAAATCAAAATTAAGTCAATACAAGCATATCAATTTTCGAGACATTGTTGTGACTTAATGGAAGTTTAATTAGCAAAAATTGTATTGTATTGTATTGTTTATTACCAAGAACCATACAGTTCATAGGTTTGAAGTATATACATAAATCAATCTGTACATTATATATATATAACATTTCATTATCATTTGTACATTAAGTAAGGCAGGATCATAGTATTACATACTATTCATTCTTAGTTCACAAAGCAGACAAAAGCACCATGATATATATTGATCCATAAAGCAGACAAAAGCACCATAATAAAAGTTGGTAATAGTAATAGTGAGGATAATCTCGTTATATCAATGTGAGTTAACTTCTGCTCTCAATCTTGTACATTTATAAAGATATTTTCCTGGTTTACATAACTCTGTTACATTTTTTGTCGACAACAAGTGAACAAGTTTAAAGGTAGATGGTTTTTGGTGATAATATTTCTTAATATACTCTTTTCTAACATCGGAAAAAAAACGGACAAACCAGAATAAAATGATACTCGTCTTCAACTTGTGACATTGAACAAAATTTGCACAATCTTTCTATTCTAGGAATATTAAAAAATCTCCCTCGTTCTATCTCTAGTTGGTGAGAAGATAGACGATATTGACTGATATATTGTACATATTTTTGTGATATTGATTTAATTTAATATAATTGTAAATTAAAACTATCGCTTAAATACCTATACAAAATACACTTAGGGGAAGCTTCAAAATTACTTCGTGCTTCTTGAATGAACATGTCATCCAATCTTTGTTTCACCTCAAACAAAAAAAGTTTTTCATTTAGGTAGTCTTTACAGTTCCATGTATAACCAAAGCCTAAAGTATCAACAAGGTCTTTTATATGTGACAGTCAACAAGGAAAAGTATTTGATTCACACACATCTAACATTTCTTGGTATATATTTCTTAAAATGCAATTATCACTATTTTTTAACTTTAACCAATACTTCAGCATTCTAATAAAGTTAAAGCTCTTTTCATGCCATAATATTATTATCTTCCAATATTGAATAACAAGGTCATTATTTAACTCAGAAATGAAAGCATTCTTAATTATATGTAGATTTCAGCATGCAAGAATCACATCTCTGGTGTCAGGGTTTGACATCTGTAAGAATCTTAGATTTAACTTGTATTTAACTTTGAAAGGTTTAGATAGGGAGTCATTAAGTTTAAACATTCGAATTTCCAATATTTGGCTTAGAGTCGTTATTCTAACTTATAACATTTTTTAAAGTTGATTGATAAAGTGTTAAACGTATGTTATTTACAAATATTAGAATCAAGTGTTATGGACGTAGAAGGTGGTATTGAAAACCACAAGAAAACCAAATGAAAATCAGTAGTCTTTGCAATATTCTGTTATAAGTTTTCACTCCTGCAATGTGAACATTTTTTTGGGATAATTTATATGAACATTAGCGTTATATTTTATGCTTATTTAGAAAAACTTTCATTTTGAACATTTTAGGATATGTAACTTGTGCTATTTGCTCCTACCTTCTTTCTACTTGCTTTTCTAAATAATACAAAAAATCACTTATCCTTAATGTATTTAAGTGCTCATTATATAGAAAATGTTATATGCTTCATGGATATTACTTATTACAGTGGTGGAAAAGCTTCAGGAACACTTTACAACAACATATTCGAGAAGTAGCGTTAACCAAAAACTCCAAGGAACTTTTAGAAAATTTGAAATCACAAACTTTTACCAAAGTCAATTGCATCAAAACGAACGACTTTTCAACGCTTTATACAAAGAAATATGAAGAAACGAACAGTATTCAAGCTCAAAAGTCCATTAATGCAAACAAGGATCTCTAAAACTATCAAAGGTGGGATCAGGTGCTAGGGAGGAGTAAGCACTCCCCATAAATTACAGACCAGTAGTCCATTCACTACAGAACTTTCGACTTAGACCAAACGCTTGAGTTGATTGTAAAATCAAGTAAAATGAATAATTCTGTTAAAAATTGCTTGTATAAATATATAGTTTTATATTTCTTTTGAAAAAAGATAAATAAAGAAATGAAATAAAGAAGGTTATTAGGAAAATTACATTTGGAAGTAGTGTTAAGTTCTTTTGAAAAACAGGACCCAGACTTTTTTTTTTTACATCATAGACAACTGCTTCATTAAAAATAAAACTCATAACTTTACATACCTTGTCATTGGTAATGTGCAAGCTTGTTTTCTTTATAAACATTCTGATTTTACACAAAGGTACTCCGAGGTGATATTAAAAAGGTGATTGTGTCTCTCATTGACAATATCTTTGTAGTTTTTGGAGACCAGGTCTTCTAACAATCTGTTTGAATTTTTATGGGTAATGATTATTAGCCGACCTGTTTTCTGTATTCTTGAGAAACAGAATTTATTCTAAATTTTCTACATACACATGTACATAGAAGTCGCTGTGGTTTTCAATTCGAGTGTTAGATACCGACGATGTTCTATCAATTAACAATATTCATTCTTATTTCATTTTTATTCCTACCTTAGTTCGATATATCTCATTGGTCTCGAAATAAGAGACATTACAGAGTCTGACCCATCTGCTTCATATCTGGATATTTTACTAGAGAAAGACATTGATGGTAAACTAAAATTTAGGACAAACATGATGATGCAATATAAAGTAGCAATATAAAGTAACAATATACCATTGTTAGCTGCAAATGGAGTTTATGTCTACAAGTGAATTCCATACAGAAGAAAATGTTCTACGAATGAGCAATTTCTAAAACGAGACAGGCTATTGACAAATAATTTGATGATTCAAAAATTTCAACGATCTCATTTAAAATCACTAATTCTATGGTCGATATACTGGTCTACAAAGACAATCTGTCGTTTGTACGATTGTTTATTGGCGTTTTTCATACAAATTGCTACACCATAATTGTCATAATTGATTTTTCCCGTTTACTCGATCATGACAAGGCATGGGATGCTTACTCCTCCATGGCACATTATCAAACCTCTGTTTTCAAAGGTTTGTGCTGGCTTGGCTCATAAATTGAATTTTGAGCATCTCTTTTCGTTATCTTTACATTTCATTTGCTTTTTAAAATTCACTTACAAAGCATTTTTACTTTACATATTTCTCTTTCCTATTTCAGTATGTTTGTCCTGCATAGCAGAAATGGGAAAGAGAAGGCAGGGAATGTTCTATAACTCTTGTTTATTTTGAATCCCTTTTCCTTTGTCATTATTTTATATATGAAGAAAATACATATTTACGTACATATGATATAAACGCGATAAATACTTACAAGACAAGATAAATGCAACATCTATTATTATACACAAGTGTTGGCTAATGCATTTTTATTCTTAGTATTCATCCTACAAATTCTTTGCATGTGCTCCAAAAATATATTACTGAATGTTATAAAATTGTACCGAATTGATGAAAGAAAAAGGGGCCCTTCAGGATGTATACTTTTCTGCTATATTTCAAGAACAGTCCGTTTTTCTTGACAAAAAGGCTTGACTGTGGAGACAGATTATTCGGAACATACTGAAGGATTTGGAACCAAAATTATCAACTGTGGGAATTTCATAACATCGTTATAGATACCTCTATAAAACGAGGTTTCAAGCGCCATTGGAAGTTCAACGAGACTTTAAGGCCGAATGATCATTAAAATGTGATTTAAAACAATTCTTTCAATTAAAGGGTTATAATGACAAATATTTGTACTAAAATCATCATTAGAATGTAAATGAACATATAAATCTATGAGAAAATGATGATGAATGAAAAAAACCCCGTAAAATTTCCTTATTTAGATTAAAAAAACGATAAATTTACGAAAAAAGTTCTACCGAGATTTTACGATCACATAAGTTTGCGTTTATAACTAGATCTGAAGCCATAAAACTTACATGAGTACACTTTTTTTAAAATCTCATTTTAACTTTCATTCTGTATATTCCTCTTGTAAAAAGTGAGAGCGAGATCAGAAAAAAAAACTCATGTACGTTTTATGACCCTGGAGCCGGAACTGAAGAGGACAAAGCTAATTAAATTCCAATTAATTTAAATATTGCAAAATGAAATGATGTTGAATATCATTAAATAAATAATCAAAATACTCCAGACCTAAGCTACAAGGATCACATTAACATTAGAAGAACTTTTTTTAATATGCAAGTCGATCTTATCTTTTTCAGACATTCATGTTTACATTGCTAGTTAATAGCCTTCTTAACTAGTCTTTGATAAAGAAAAGCAAAATCCTTCGAACTGAAATTGTAATCATATTGTACAAATTTGAAGGGATTCTTTCTCATTTATAAACATGTATGTGTTCAAATTATGATACTGGCTCAATTTAATGGAAATAATATTTTGGATCAAACATGACAAACATAATTTCTAAGAACTTACATCTCTACAAGAGTACGTAAAGTTAAAAACTGTTAAATCTTACCTATCTGCGCTTTTTAACTTTTGCATCCATTTTTTCTGTTTTCTTCAGTTTTGTGCATCTTTTTTTAAATACCATTTGATGAAATAGAAAACAATTTCTTGGCTCGAAAATTTATTTCCTGACATCGACACAATTATATATTCTTAAAATAAATGTACTTTTCATAGTAATTCTACAATATAAAAATGTTAAAGTGTAAAATACTTGAACAAATGGTTTTGGCATCATCAATGGGTCAAATAAAAGATAAATATAATCTTGCTACACGTTGGTTTAAAAATTTACTCAAATTTACATTTGGCTGTGTATTCTTTTATACCCCTTTGGCGGAAAGCCTAAAGCCTATTTCAAGCACAACGCTAAATGTCTTGCACATTAACACATAAATGCGCTAATCTAATCTGCGCTAACATGTTTAAAAATCAATTTTCACCAAATATCGTGTAATATAATACATTTACAGTATATGAGGAAGCAAATCGACTCAAATGTCCCATTTCGTACAATACAGTGTAGAATAATTTATAACATTGCACATCAAAAATATTTATCTAATTTAAAAAAAAAAACTTTAAAGCTTGAACAATGTAACCCTGGAATGACACTGAGCATAAAAGGAGGCACTGCACAACCGATCAGACTCTTTCTTCCGAGTCTTTCTTTTCGTTTGGTATTATATCTAATGTCATATCTTCTCGATGTTTTCTGAAAAGGTAATTGTAATATTTAAGAGCATTGATTCCAAAATAAATATATATTATGTGCTCTAAGTAAACTCATATAATTACGTTACTTACAGTTCACCGGATGTAAGATGTCAGCGATGCAAATAATCACGTGACTTACAGTTTATCCGGATGTAAGATGTCATCTATGGTCTGTGGAAGAGGTCTACCATTAGTTTCCGGAAGTATTAGTGCCAATAGACCAGCAACGGCAGACAGGACGCCGAACACGAGAAGAGGGAGTGGGGCCCATAAGACTCCTAGTTCTAAAATTTGTGGAGCTAACATACCCCCTATACGGGCGGACATTGACGAAATCCCCATACCAATATTTCTGTAACAAATAACTTTGAACAATACCAAAGAGAATACCTAAAATTGTTATTTATATCCACAAATTTTTCTGTAACGAGAGGAAACATTTTTGGCTATTCGCAGCTTGTTTTTGCTAAAAACCTTACGTATAAAATGAAGAAAAAACTCATATTAAGTGAAATTGTCATTTATTCAAACTAACAAATGACTAAAATTACATTTAAATGTGTACCGTATATGATTTACATTTACATATTTCATAAACTTACACAGCAATTAATTGATAAAAAAAACTGTTCTAATTATTTCAAGTCTATCAGTTAAGTTTAAAGTATTATATTATAAGGGGTATTTAAAAAAAAAGAAAAAGAGGTCATGAATTTGTAAAGTTTTAAAATGTTACGGAAACCAGTTATTTCAAGATAAGATAGATTTTGCACAATCTAAAAGTTATGTTAAGAAAGTAAATTAAATCTTGCTTACCTAACTACTGTAGGAAATACTTCAGCTGCCATGAGGTAGATTATAGCGTATGATGCTGTTATACCAAACTTCCCTAACATTGCTAACGTCACTTTTAGAGCAACCAGATCTTCAGAAAAAAAAATATTAAAAAAATACCATATATTCGTTGGCTTTATCATCCCGTAACACTTATTCAAATAGATACATATTTTCTTTCTTTGCAACATAAATATTTCAAGTTGTTTAAAAATAGATAAAAATAATCTTTTATTAAGATATATCAGGTTACAGATTGTGAAATTAAACTATTTCAAAGAATGTACATAATTAATCCTTTTATTTTACTAAGATGCAAATGAAATATCAGATGATAGATTCGGAATAAAATGAAAATGATCTACATGTCTGTTTCACATTTGGATTTTTTACAAGAGAAAGAAATTGATGGCAAACTAAAAACTGATCTTTATGATAAAAACGCAATAACTAACATTTCTTATTTATGTAGCATTATATCATCACTTGCATGTGGTGTTATATCTCCCAGTTTATTATATTCATAAGAGCATGTTCTACAAAAATTTCTAAACTAAGTCAGGCTATTGACAAATAAGTTTATGTTACAAGGGTTTCAAAAAAATCTCGTTTTACTATTTTTTTCATAAGTTCTATGGTCGATATAATGACTTTTTTGCAGATATAACCTGTCGTAAGGTCGAATGTTGACTGACATATTCAAATTATTAGACCATTATTTCCATACTGAAATGTCTACGAATCACCCGTTTACCCGATTAAGACAAAGGGCTCACTTTTGGTGTGAACACTCGACAGGGGGTGCTCACAGCAGATCTCTGTTTTCAAAGGTCCGTGTAAATTATTTTGTTCTCAATGCCTTTTGTTTAATTGGACTTTTGATAATGATTACTGTTCATAGTCATAACATTTCATTTAGAATAATTAAACAAAAACGTGAAATAGCAAAATGTAAACTGTAAATTTTAACAGAATGATTATTCCTACCTTTCGGTATAAAAGCCGATGCTATGCAACTTATTCCGCCGAAGATCATGGTAATGGTCAATGGTTTTTTCCTCCCAATTCGATTTAGACATAATACACACATAATATAGGCGGGAATTTCAACAGCCCCTGCTATCATAAAGTTTATATAGGGATCTCCTCCCAGGTTATCTGTCCCCAGAGCCAGTCCATAATACACCATGGCGTTAACCAACCTAAGCCAAAAAATGTGCTCTGTCATATTTTTATCTTTCAGATGTTTTCATATAAAAAATTTGAATTATACACCATAAATCACCACTGATTTCACATCATACTGTAAACCAACTTTTATTCGCGAGCGAGAAATATCCGCGAGTTTCGCGACTTTCTTTCATTCTCGAATATTTCTCGTCGCGAACCAATTATTCGCCTATGTATTTATGTAGAATGTTGCCTCAGTCGCGAACATAACTAGTCGCGGATGGATTCTAAAGTGAAATGTCGCGAATAATAGTTGGTTTACAGTATACAAAAGAAGTTTATGAGTAGCTTATAAGTAGAATATAAAATCACAGGTAGAAAAGCTAGAAGTAAATCTTCACTCATTAGAAAATTATTTACTGTATTCATCCTATTGAGCACCCCTACCTATATATGCGCCCATGCTACCTTGAATAAGGGTCCCCTCTACCTCAAATACTTTTTACATTATTGTTTAGCTTCAAAGAATTATACTATGTACAATACATTGACGATATTTAATCAATTCATTCTTGGAATGACTTATCTACTCTCTAAATATCGTGTTTACATTATTTTTGCCTTCTTAATACATTAATTGAGCTTGCTGTTTGTTTTTAGAATTTTGGGGCACCCATATACCACTTTTAAAATGCATTTTAGATGGGGTTGCTTTTACAAAAGTATGTTTCTTTTTCTTTTAATACTTTACTTGTCTTGTAACTCAACGCGTTTTATAACAGAGAGACCTAGCAAATCCTTCCTTTCTCTAATTTTAATTTCATGGGTACTTTTTAAGGATTCATTTCCTTGAAGAAGGACTTTCGTATATGAACATTGATCTACTCTATGTGGTGCCAATACATGTTTGAGTTGCAATATGTGTTCATTGTATAAAAACTATCATCTTTTCTTATACCTACCAGTTAAACCAGACGTTAAGAGAAAGGGTCAGCATTTTGAAGGGTCGAAAAAGGTCTACGAATGTATACTTCCTGTCATCTATGACCTCTTTCGGATTCTCTTTGGACACACCCAGTCCCTCCAGCATGCTCTCTGTGATTGTTACCTTGTTGGTTTTGGCGACCTTTTTAATTATTTCTTTCGCTTGTTCCTCTCGGCCTTTAGAAAGCAGCCATCGAATGGACTCAGGAAGTACACTTACAATAAATAATGATAATATTGATAATTTGGACTCTTCATCACTTACGAAAGATAAGAACAGTGTCTACTTCGTACCTTTTTAACATCATTTCTTCTTCGTAAATTAAGGTACTTAATGAAGAGTTTTTAAATCATCATTCTTTTTTACTGTTGTTAAACTCGCTAATTTTTTTAATAAAATTTTAAAATTGAATGATTTTACATGCAATTAGCTTACCATAAGTAAACGGAAAATAGTACCACAGGTACCGTAATGGCAAGTTCTATGTATCGCCAGTCGTAGATGAGATAAGCAATTCCTGACAAGGCCATGTACCCGATACTGTAGAAACCCTGTACCAAAAATCCAGCTAGTACACGGTAACTCGGCCCAACCAGTTCAGTACCTGTGACAATTTTTTTTAATGGACCTTTATTATTTCGAAGTGAAAATATTTAATCTGAACCACTATTGGTAAGAATCGTTTATATAAGTGATAATTTCCAATGAAGTCAGAACTGTCTATAATGTGACAGCAGTAGTCAAAGTGTAAAGTATGTATACAGCTACCCTTGTCTTAAATTTGAATTTTACGTAGCACCAAAAATATATTCTGATCGCTTGCTCTCCCTCTGTGCAATAATAGGAGAGATCGTTTATCATTATGTGTTCTATTTCATGAGTATTGTATATGAAAGATACTGAAACTTGTAAATGTGTGGCGTTTGTACAGCAACTTTTTTATACTGAATAAAGACGCTCCATAATGACATTCTAGTTGATGAAGTGGTCTCAAGCTTCCCTTTGTATTATCAACAATACAATACATCTTGCATGAAATGTGTGAATGAATAGGATTAGTGTATTTTCTACACAATTTACCACTTGTGGTGACTTAAACCCTATTCCTTTCTATATATAAAATTATCAGCTTCAATGAGTGGAATTTACACTTGTATGTATGAATAGATTATGTGTCATTCGTAAAGATATGGAAATCTGTTGGTAAGAATAGAAAAAATATTTCACATTAGCTTACGGCTTTAATACACATACTAGTCCTATACAACAATAAAAAGTATTTGACTTCCCATTTACTATAAGTAATAACAGAGTAAAAGTAATGCATCTAAAGGTAAATTCAAGGGGGAGGGGAGGGAGGGGATTGCTAATAAATACCTTATACAAAGGTCTGAGTGCTTGTAGACCTTATCTTTTTCTTTGTTAATTCCAAGTCATTATCAAAAATAAAATATTGATTAAGAATGTACTTCATAGTGCAGTCTTATCGGTCATTGACAATGAGCGGCTCAAAATAATCTTGTTTTATCACATATTTTTAAGTTACCCAGATTTCTGGTTACAAGGCCACCATTGAAGTGTGATAAAGAGTGCACATCGGTTAAAATATTCAAGGTCACAGTTTTTATAGATTAAACATTTATGTGACTATGCCTTTGCCATTCGTCATTCTTAATCCAAATTTCTCTTTTAGGGTGTACTAGTAATTAACAAAAATCCCCAAAAATCGGTTTAGTTCCCATGATCTCTGGCAATAAACTCTATATTATTGGCATTTTTTGTTCAGGATGTGTTAGATTTGAAGTATGATCCCATCACATAATATTTATTTTCCATAAGATATATATCCCTGAGAAAGATAGCTTTCAATCCTTTAAACCATTTAGATTTGTTTGGTCTTACAAAGACTCTGGGTTCATTAACCAGTGGTGACACACTTTTTTTTTTATCTTTGACAGGGTCGTAATTTTTTATTACGCTTATCTACTTTAAACAAAGAAATAAATCGGTAGTATTTGGAAATTAAACTAAAATCAAACATCATTATGATAAAATTGAACATCTCCTGTCGTTCATGATATAATGAGCTCCTTTAATCACATAGTTTAAAGAAATCAAAATTTGGTCGATTTGTCTTTATGTTATCCTCCAGTAACCTCAGGTATATAGGTCAAATCTCACAATTTCTGTACATACAAGTCGTGCTAACCAAGGCTGAACTTAGTGCAAGGAAATGACAACATATCCTATCCTGCACCATACTAGGATATAACAATATATCCTATAAGTATTCTGTATGTTTTAGCAATACAAGGATTTGTACAATATATTAATTTGTCAAGGAATAAAAAAAATCAGTTGAGTTTTGGGGAAATACTAATTAATATTACTGCCATATTTTTTAATAATCTGAATTATATATTGTATGATGATGGATCTATGTTCTTAAACTTTAATCCTGGGTTAACATGAGTATTCACACTGCATGTGCAAAGCATACGAAAATGGAATTGTCTTACTTTCATTTTATTCTTTTATACAAATAAAAATGTACAGAGCCTTAGAAAAATAAAATTCTTGATGGTTCAAATTCTTTATGTCTGAAAATCTAAGGGCCCACTTACTTTTTAAATTCTTTACTGAATTTTTCATATTTATACTGGACTATATGTTTTGTAAAAAGTTCTCTCCAATGCTTTATCAGTCAACAGAAGTTTTGGAATCAACTAATTTTGCAATAGCTTCCTGATATGAACGTGTTGATTTGAAGAAAATTGATGTGTGTGTGTGTGTGTGCATACAAGAGTTTTGTATATATATTAGGACATTAATGTAGCATACACAGGCCATATACATACACATTGTAAAAGCAACCAAGAAGAGTCCGGTCTGGGCTGCTCCCTGGAGAATATAGAACGGAATGAAGACAAACATGGACGGAGAGGCAGCAGCAACACAGCCCACAATGAGCAACATCAGCAACCCAGCAAAAAACATAGGACGGCGACCAAATCTACAAAAGAAGCAGTGAAATATGCATATAACGGGAAAAAAGGGTAACAATTGTCTCTAAATTGTCAAAGTTCTGTATATATATACTCGTACATTTTACATTAACGACGTTTCCTCTATTTTTTCCCTTAAAAAGATACATTAATTATAAAAAATAAAAATCTGCTCTATATATAGTGCTGTGATTTCATTCAATAAATGAGGAACACTGTACATAAAATACTCACATGTCCGAGAGCTGACCAAAAATAACGGCACCGAGGAGCCGGCCGAAAAAGTACAGCGTTTTGGAAGTACTCCGCAGCCATGCTGAATTACATACTAAGTAAAACTGTGAAAATATAAATCAAATAAACTAAAAAGGCTTAGAGGAAGAAGAATTGAAATTACAAGGTTTGGAAGGTTTTTTTTCCACTTTCTTTTTATCCCCTCTGAAATGCTCGAGCAAAATTACGTTCTTTGTTTATTTAGCAAAAAATATTCATGTGCCTAGGAATCTAAGTATGCATTCACATATTTCTTTTTTCAAACGAATTATCATTCAATCAACCTCTATAGCAACATTCAAAACACTTCAAAATCAATCATTGCCATGTGAAATCTGGTGAACTCGTTGGATAATTTAATGTAATAAAAGAACCTGGCATTTCTCAATACGCACTCATTACTTCTGTAAAACTTATTGGTTTAGGGATTTAAATAAAAGCGCAAGGTCGGACTGAGATATACTTAAACCTATGATTATGCAATCAAATAACGAACTATTGGATTTTTTTCCCGATTTTCGCTATTGGTTTTTACATTTTTTTATTAACCCATTTCACCTTTTAACGGGGTAAAAGGTATTTAAACGTGAAAAAAGACGTGCATTTTTTTCTATGTAATTTCTATAACAAAAAGTTCAGTAACTTAAATTCTTAATGTATGTTAGAAAACAATAAATTCCACAGTTTTTTTCCTATTATTTTTCAAACATCAATAAAAGAGGCTCTGTGACCCAGAAGTGAACCTGAATGCACTATATGAATTCTGATAGTAGAAAAAATCAATACTAAATCAAGATCTGTGATTCGGACGAACTCATTAAAACGACGATCAATACACTTTTTTTGATATTCTGTAAACATAACTTTCTGGGAACTGACGGATAATAATATAGATTAAAAAGTATGCAAGTGTGTAACTACACATCACAAGACCACGAGTTTCGGAAATGTCATTTATATAAAGATCTTGTGGATAATGCTACATGATGCACACATATCATGTTACCGCGCGTCTGTAATCTCTTGTCATTTTATCCTTTGCAATACTAAGGAATTGTAAATATGAATAATTAAATTAAAGTCACACACTTTGAATTTTTCAAACCTTGATCTGATTCGAAATGATAACATAACTTTCTTACACTTACTATATCACATGTTAAAAACCTAGCCAATTGTGGTTTATTTATAGAAGTTTTGTGTACTATGTGCACTAGATTAATAAGACATGAAAAATATTAAGTGTATATAATTTGTTTTTATATCTTTATACAACATGCCTGGTCGGCCAAAGAACACCTGGTGAAGGACTGTGGAAAAGGAGATGAGAGAGCACAAACTAACTTGGGGAGAACTGGAAAAAAATGTGTAGCATTTTCTATACCTACCTACCTACCTAGTCCTTGTTATGCCCGTGGGCACATAGGGCAGGGACTAGATTTTTCCACTTCTCTCTCTGTGCCCACGGGCATAACAAGGACTAGGTGGTAGTTAGGTATACAAAATGCTGCACACATACGACGTACCTGAGTTACAATTGTAGGTCCGTAAACATCACGAGAGAATTCCCAGTCTTTACACCCTTCCTTGCTAAAAGAAACATTTGTTTGTGAGGATATAAGTTCCTGGAATGTGTATGTCCCGTTAGTAACATAACGAAGAAGTTCGTCTGAATTGTAGATTTCACATGCGTCTTCGTCTGCTTTTCTCAAGAAGGAGATCCAACTATCAAACGTCACATTTTCAGCACCGAAAGACGACAGATTCACGTACGGAATCTGACATTTTTTCTTTGGGTTTGCGCCTACAAATACCATATTCATTGCATGGAAAGCGCACACGATGGACACAAGGCATATCAAGAACAGACGGGTCTTTTGATAGTGTCCAAGTTCTCCCAATACTTTCAAAAGTTCGTCAAAATGCATCGCTGTGTCTGAAAAGTTGGTACACTCTGCTTACACTAATTTTCAAAGATCTCTTCCATTCAGCATGACCTGTTCTACAATGAATGAATACAAGATTACCATACTTAAATCTCTCTGCTACCACGTGTGTCAACAAGTCATTAGAAAAAAAAGGAATAACGGAGATATATATACAAATCCAAAATCCTATAAGATCAGATGGGTTTTTTTGAGTATCGGAAACAGTTAAACCATATGCTTCATATCTAGAAGTGGTTCGTCAACAAATTGCGATATGAATGGGGGGTTTCACACATGTGCATACTACGCTCAAGGAAATAAAAATACCGGACGATGCAAATGAGGAGCAAAGGTCGATATCGTTTACATGACAACACAGGAAGTTATAGTGTAACTTATTCGAGAGTACCTGAAGTCATTTAAAGCTATTTTATTTTACACTTTGTGTTATTTGATTGATGAAGATTCTGACAGTAAATATTAAAGTCTGAATAAAATCTTGCTTGTAGTGACGTGCGTATAAAAATGCAATCCACGTGTTTGTCTAAATATAAACGACTAGCAGTTCTGGTTCTGCATTGAGGGGTGGATCAAGCATACGCTGCACACTGTACGTGGAAATTCTATTAAGAAAAACTTTATTGTGGCTATAATTGGGCACGGCTGTATATCCAGAGACACTTAATTCCTCCATGCAGAATATCTTAAACTTTATATGCATGCAGAAAACTTGAAATGGAGTGTTTAAATGTATTAAAATTGTTTGAATAAACTGATTTAAATATACTTGTACATAGTATGGATCAACTTGTATTTTCTACTGTCTCCATTTGGTGTTACATAAACTGATCAAAGTTTAAATTACCGGTTCTTAACACTAGGTGTCATCAAAATCAAAAATGAAAACAAAAATATCATGCATACAATAGGATATGAAATCAACCATTTTTCATCCCTTCGTATTAAAAGGAGAATGCTGTGAAACAAAATTCAACCATTTACAAGTGAGATCATACTATGCACTTTTTCCGTGACTTATTCCTGTAAGAGTGCGAATGCAAATGTAAGTAACTTAATTCATGCATGAATTTATTTATCTATTTTCTAAAATCAAACTGAATATCCTGAAAAATGACAGTAAGAATTTAATGGTATCTTAAAAATGCAAAAGGGAATTTTATGCTGTTTTTTCCTTCTTTTTTTCATCCAAAATTATGCAGTGCTTTCCGGGAGACCATTAGAAACGGAATTCACTGTACTTTGAGTAAGACATTTCTCTTTTCACTGGAAAAAATCGTAGGGGAAAGAAAACAAAAAATGTGTAATCGGATGTTTGATATTTATTTTTTTCCTAATTTCAGGAGCATGTGGTGGTGTTGATGGGGGAGGTGTTATCGACCATAACCCTCAAAATATGGAGGGAGTGAGAGATCCACCCCACCCCACCCCCGCGCGACACACCCATACACGAACTCTTGCATTCGTCACTGCACACAACCTACTATATTAATGAAGCTAATTAGATATTTCATGAGTTATACTGTACGTATACTATGTATGATGATAAATTTTATGCAGAATTGAAGTTTACGAGAAGAAATAAAAAAAAGATTTTGAGTTGTTCAAATAACATAGTATATATGGCAGTGTTTAAAATTGTAACATCTTGTTTGTATAAATATTTACTATAACAGAAAATTGAATGCCCATGCACTAAAGATAACTTGGGAGTTGAATTACAAACTTTTTTAACAGATTACCAGCAGAAACAAAAAATCAAATCAATTGAATTTGAGAAAAAGAAAATCAATAAATTCCCATTACACCAAGAAAATTGAAAAGTAAACATCTTACCTGTCTGTTCATTGATATATATTGTGTATTCAAGCCTGAAATGATGAATATGATAATTCACTTATGTCATCATTCACAATTTCATCACGCATACAAGAGTTTTGCACAAAATCAATCAGGCCCGTAGGAAGCAATATCACTTTGAGGGGGCACAACCATACATTTTCAGTTGGGGAGGGGTCACTATCAACTACCACTACCAAAATTCCCTGACAAGCAAGCAAAAAAAAAAAAAAGGGGGGGATCAGACATTATTATTGAGGGGGCACGAGCATACAGTAGCTATGTTTTCTATAGTATTCTATATATCGGCAAAATTATTGGGGGGAGGGGGGGGGGGCGTGCCCCCTTCCTACGGCCATGTCAATGATTGGGCCATGTCAATGATTGTATTATGATGTCCCTATTAAAATAATTGAAGCTGAACGTCACGAAGGGCCGATATGCCTCCCCCTCCAGCATCTCTGGATCAAAATTTTGTGATTTTCTGTTTCAGTTTAAAAAAAACAACAGATCATCAGAAGCATACCTTGCAGGTATGTACTCATTATAGCTGCAGATCTGAAGCTGGCTGGTCTGGAAATGATTGGAATGGTCGTCCACCCGTATTTTTCAGACCGGCGAACTACAGATCTGCAGCTAGTATACTCTTGGTCTGAATGATCTTTTTTAAAGCATGATTTTTTTTTTCACTTTGAATTGCATGTTATAAGAAAAGAACTGAACTTAGTATAAAGAAATTAGTGAAATCACAAAAAATGCATTTTAATTTTTTTAAAAAATGAAGAAGAAATTAAAAGGGGAAAAAATACAAAATAAAAGAACTTGAGAAAAAGATTGTGCCTCCCCGGCGGGGAATCGAACCCCGGTCTCCCGCGTGACAGGCGGGGATACTTACCACTATACTACCGAGGATTGCATGCATACTATGTGGAGAAAATAAAATATATGGCTTTAACCTATTTAAGAATCCTTTTGTTATACACATATTTTGATTGACTGACTGTGTAAGGTGTATGTAGTTGTTTAATAAAACGTCAACATTGCTGAATTAACTATTTTAAGATAATATATGACAACACGGCATTTACAACTTCGTCTGAATTTTTCAAATTTATTCATTATTACCCCGTGGTGTACCCCAAGACATTTTCATAGCGAACAATTATCTACATCAGTAATATTCTTCTTTTAGAAAACATAAACAAAATTTTCCATTCAAAATTATGATTCAATGAACAAGCAAAGGTACCTAACAATAGAAAAAACAAGATCAAAACTAAAGTTTCCCCAATTCGAGAGAACTATATTTTACATTTCAACACTTGTATTACTGCGCACATGACCTCATTCTGTGATCCTTTCGATTAAAAATAGCCGAATCACGTGGGTTGTAGGATTCATGGGTAATGAACATGCGCACGCATCTCTTGTTTTCAAAGAGGAGATAATAAACGTGGTGTGTAGAAAATCGCCGTTTTCAGGAGAATGGATGAATGTTGATGATTGAAAATGCCTCTTTATGATACTTTTTGATACAGATATTGTTCTGAGAAGTAAGTATTTCATAATATTCTGCAATTTCTTTGCAATACCGATTTGTCTTCGGCGCGAACACAAACATCCGGGCGGTTTAATGATTACGGAGGCAAAATTTTCTTTTCTCTGATTGGTTGAAAGTTCGGTATGGCAAAATTTTTAAAAAATGTATATATTAAGAAATATGTTTACAAATGTAAATTGTATTATTTATTTTGACTGTGAGATAACGGGTCTATATGAATAAAAAAGGTGTATGTATATATTTAATCTTAGTTGTTGAAAATTTCAGAAACTAGATTTTCGCGATTCAGCAGTGCATGAGAAGAAAGGATCAAAAAATCTTATGATTAGTATTATTTATGATAAAATTTGTTTAATATATTTAATTTTAGAAATGTTTGATTTAAACTGAATTTTTAGGAATTTTGATACAAATATCATTAAATTTTATTGGAAATGATGTAGTTTTATTGTTACGTCATGAAAAATATTATGACGTTATTTAACGCAAAATGACGTCATATTTATGAGCAAACGATATTACTGTTTTATAACTAGGCCTACACATTTTTCAACAAGTAAAAAGTTATTTTGAATAAACTTTTGAGGTAAGTTCTCACTCACTTTAAAAAAAAAATCTATTTTTTTTTTAAATTCTAATTTATCTCATAGCTATCTATTCGGAGTAGTTATTAGAGTAATGTTTTTCTTCAGATTGATAAAAAAAGTCTGTTCTTGAAGAGGCATGCTTAAAAGGCAACATGAGCAGGTAAGACTTTTCCTCGAGATATAAACGCGGTTATTTTAAGAAACGTTTCCTTAACATAGTATATATAGTTGTTAACTTTCAATTTTTATCTGTGTAGACCAGAAATATGAGAATAATACCATCTTTAAAAAAAAATGTTTGCCCTCTCCCAGCCGACTGACAAAAACGGTCCGAATCAAAACTCTTTTACCTTACCTCCAGGAAACAATTTATTTCTAAGTTTTTTCATCGCATTAAATAATTATTTTAACTTCTTATTCGTAAGTGTTTGTGAAAAAAAAATCCTCCCTACCTACCTACCCAATTTTTTCTTCTTTCTTTTTTTTAAATCTGGAGAGGACAAGCAAACATTTTTAAAGTCATTGTAGGGAGAAGTAGTTGGCGTGTCATAATGACGTCATTTTAATAATCTTATCTCAGCCTACCAATGCTACCATTATTACTAGTAATTAAGGATGCATAACACCTAATTCAAAATTTCTTATTTCAAGGAATTTTAAAAGTGATTTATATAAATTTCCATCAAGATTACTACAGATTCTGTACGTATAACTAAAACATTTTATTTTTAAAAGGTTGTCTATTCGAAAAATGTTGATTCGTTTAAAGGGACATAGACAACTTGCGTTGATGTTTGTTTTAAATTCTGAATTTCTCTTGAAATAAATTCAGTTGACTGATTTGGAATTACAAGAAGATTCATAATATTCAATGACATTGCATTCTTCGTAACTACACCAAATAGCTTGGCTCGAGCTTTCTCCTTTTTTGGTTACGATTTACCTTGTGTGTTCGATTTGTTAGCTGAACACATCACTGAACACAAACTGACAACACTTGTGTTCTGATTTTATATTGTGACTTATCTTGATTTAAGTTTCATATATATTATTATTACATCCTAGAATTCCCACTTTTCTTTATCAACCAAATAAAAAGTTGAAAGTTCAAGGATAAATGACAATCTTACAAACACATCCAAAGTTCTTAGTGTTGACAACTTTCAGGTTGAGAAAAAGTTTCTGAATACAATTTTATAATGGCGCTCTCACAACATGTTAATCATGAAATTCTACCGAAAATTTTTATGGATATAAAATTAAAAAAAATTGTATCTATTTCAACATGAAAAAAAATTCAACCTTATATTCCCCAATCATTAAAGAGAGGTAAGCTTGCAATTTTGATAATACATGTTAATTTTGCCGTGTGAAAATTTGTATAATTTTAATTTTTTTTAATTAATTAATTTATTTTTTTTTGACGAGTTAAAACACAAATCTTCGCAGATATGATCATATGAATGATGTTAAGTTTTACTTTTTAGAATGTCGCTTTCTGATTTATATCTTTTTATTGTATATCGTTGTCATATCGATTTCAGAGCCTGTCATCATGTTACTTGTATAATACTTACAGTGTACCGTAACCATTATTTAGCGCTATACTGAACTAAGCTAACGAACAGAGATCTATCTTATAAACCAAGTAAAGAAAACGTATCGTGAACAGGGCAAAAAACACGGACCCCTGGAAACACCAGAGGTGGGATCAGGTGCCTAGAGGGAGTATACATCCCCTGTGAAATGAACTTCAAGAATTTGTGATTAGGTTTTTAAGAAGTATTGTATTCACATCTCAGCATTGAATTAATTTATTCATTACATTTTCAAGACTTAAATACCGTAATTTATTTACTGAATAAAAGTGATAGTTGTCTCAGTGTGAAAGAATATCAAAATTATATTTTGTAACAGTATGAAAGAATAACAGAAGTGTGACAAAACTTCCCTTCACGAAGCGTTTAAAAAAATCCCTGGCCTGTTAAAACAGAGAGAGAGAGAGAGAGAGAGAGTAAATAATCCATTCTGACAGAGTTTAAAACTGCCAAATTTTTATAAATGTGTTGTTGAAATATATGTTTACAACCTCACAATCGCTGAGCTGTGACTTCTAAACCGCTCAACTATGACGTCACAGCCTATGACACTGTGCTACGAAAAAACAGAGGCAAATGGAAAATCAAAGGAAATGTAATGAACAGAAAATTTAATATTTTGTAGTTGATGGAATTTTTTTCACACATATTATAATCATAAATGTTAAAAAAAGGTTGACTGAGATATAGACAAGACACGATGTAACTTATACATCGGTGATAGATTTACTGTCGTTCTTTAAACTTAGAGTGTACTGTAACCATTATTTAGCGCTATACTGAACTGAGATAACGAACAGAGATCTATCTCATAAACCAAGTAAACAAAACATATCGTGAACAGGGCAAAAAACACGGACCCCTGGAAACACCAGAGGTGAGATCGGGTGCCTAGAAGGAGTATACATCCCCTGTGAAATGAACTTCAAGAATTTGTGATTAGGTTTTTAAGAAGTATTGTATTACATCTCAGCATTGTATTAATTTATTCATTATATTTTTTAAGACTTAAATACCGTAGTTTATTTACTGAATAAAAAAACTTGTTTATGCTTGAATACCTTTCAGATTTTCCCCTCTGTCGGTGTCGTTACTGTCGTATCGATATCAAAATATGATCGTTCAACAGGCGATGGTTATCCCTCAACCCCTTGATACTGTGTTAGTTTTAACGTGTGCAGTTTGAGTTTAGTTTGGAAATTTCCCTTCCCTAGTGTCTATATGGATGATATCGTTTCGAGCCATGTTTGTTAGGCACTTGGTTAAATGGTTGTTGTCCTTGCTATCATGGTTGCAGGGCTAGGCTATCTTTAAAAATTGTTTGGTTGTCCTCTTCCGACCGACTGGCTAAAAAGCCCCGACTCAAAACTTTTTTAACCTCCAGGAAACAATTATCTTTTTTATGCTATTCGGAAAATAGATATTGAAATTTCAGCGTTGATGTTGAAAATTTCCCACCTACTTACCGACCCATTTTTTTTTTTCATCCTAAGTCGGGAAAGGGCAAACAAACATTATTTTACAGTTGGCCCTGTCGATTTTCTTTAATTTGGGCCTTTCAAAGACCCCTTTCTCAGTGTCAAAAGTTACCCTTTTCCCAACCGACGTATTGATTTTTCAAATTTTTATTACCTCTGAATATCGAAAAACATAATATAGGCTTGGGTATATAATAGAAATAATTGCTACCCATTTCCCTTTGCATTGCAAAACAGAAATAAAGTTGAAAGCAAACGCCAAAACCCCAAAATCTAATGAGTTTTAAATCGTTATGACTCCCAGTATTCCCCCAGAATTGTACATTTTCTTAGTAAGTTTTTGCTTACCTGTACCAAACGCAATAGTAAGCTTTTCCGATCAAAGTTTTTATCTGTCCGCCGTTGCCCGTCTCTATCGTTTTTACGTTCTATTCAACTTCTTCTCCTTTACTACTGGGTCAATGTAAACCAAAGTTATTAAGACTTTGTATGCCCTGTCTTGAATATGGCGGGGACACATTGTTTTGTTTTGTGTATTATCCGTCCTTCCGCCTGTCTGTCAGTCACAGTTTGCGTTTAGTAACTGTTCCCGATACATGTATTTCACTGAAACATATCGGTGGGAGCTATTTTTTTTTATTACCTTACCTACTATATAAATTGTAATTAGGCATTTTGAACTGTTTCCTGATTCTTTTTAATGTTTTTGCAAATCATGAAACAGTCAAAACTGTTTACCCGGTCACAGAATGAACTGTTGCATGACTGAACTGTTCCATTATGACGTCATAGTTAATTTCCCGTACTTTACAGCTATAATATTGAATTATATATAAATTGAAGCATTTTTATTCAATTTGAAATTATCATCTGAAAAGTAAACCTGATACCAATTTAAATATATATTCAATTTAATATCATTTCAAAGAAGAGGCCATGAACACCTTTTCTGAGGGTAGTTTGGGAAAAATGTAGGCCCCTTTCATTCAGTATAGATCTTTGCCATAAACGTGCAATATTCAAATCTTTAAGACATCATTATGTTGTTTACTACATGCTTTTTTTTCCCAATTTATTAGCGCATGATAATATCACACCCATTAATTTTTCACCAATCAGTGTGAATATTTGATTAATATTCATCTTGTTTAGTTTGGTTTTAAAAAATAATACAAACTTTTGTCAATGTATTTTAAAAGCCATTGATTATTATGTCGATATCATTACTTTAAGAAATTATATAGTAGGTTAGGTAATAAAACACTTATTTCATGACAACTCGGGAAACAGTCAAACTGTTGTCCCTCGATAATGGGGAAGACCTGGGAAACTGTTGCCCTCGGCCTTCGGCCTCGGGCAACAGTTTCCCAGGTCTTCCCCATTACCTCGGGACAACAGTTTGACTGTTCCCCTCGTAGTCATGAAATAAGTGTATACTGTTTCTTAATTTTCTGACCTTGACCTTCCCTATGTTAACCTCACTATTCTTCAATTTGCGTTAAGCTCATTTCAAGGAAACTTCAATATTGTCAATTCATACGCTACTACATTTTGGTTATGTCAAGTTATATTTTTCCGACCTTGGCCTTCACTGTGACTGTGATCTAACTTTTTCTCATTTTGCGTTTAGCACAGTGGTTCATATTGGAAAGCAATCTCATAGGACAGAGAAACTAAATTTAAATTAAAATAAAAGTATAATAGGCCATTTTTGCCAAACCCATGAAAAAGTTTTGGCCACTAGTTTTCAGCATAAACACAAAAGCAATATATATATATATATATATATATATATATATATATATATATATATATATATATATATATATATATATATATATATATATATAGACTCTTTATTGTCCCCCGCTTTTGCGAAAGCGAGGGGACGTTAAATCTCATTCGTCTGTCAGTCTGTCACAAAAAATTTAACCTTGGTCATAATTTTTGAATGAGAGATATTCATATATTCATATTTCACATGTACATTACCTGTAACAAATCCTTTTCAAATACACTATTTTTGATCCCGTGACCTTGACCTTGAAGTTTGACCAAATATGAAAGCCCTATCTCTTCTCATTGAAAAGTTATGACCAAGGTTAAAGTTTTTGTGTCAGACTGACAGACGAATGAGATTTAATATCCCCCTGCTTTCGCGAAAGCGGGGGACAAACATAGGTAGTGACTGTTTCTTCGCCAAGCGCCCGGCACTATAAGTGAAAGTCACGGGTCTTTCGGATGAGACCTTATAAACCGATTCGGTAGGCATTGGCACGATAAAGAACCCTCACTGCTCAATGGCCATGAGTGCCGAGTATAGGTCTAAAGCCCTTCACCGGTATGTGGTGACGTCTCCATGAGTGAAAATTCTCGAATGGGACGTAAAACAACATACAACAAGATGTGTTTGTGAAACACTGATTCCCCCGTATGGCAGCTTATGGCGAAGTTTAAAGTTTCTCAAATGCAAGTCAAACTCCAGGTCAAGAAATCAAAAATGTTGGTACCCAAAGAAAGGTCTTGTCTCGAGGAATATACTTGTGAAATATGAGAGCCCTAGCACAAAACTGTTGAAAAGTTATGGCGAAGGTTAAAGTTTTTTAAAAGTAAGTAAAATGTCAAGGTCAAATGGTGCCCAAGGGAAGGTCTTATCACAAGTGATACACATGTTCATGAAATGTGAAAGCCCTAGAACCAAACGTTCAAATGTTATGGCCAAAGTTAAAGTTTTTTCAAAGTAGGTCTAACTCCAAGGTCAAGGTCAAAGGGTTAAAGTTGTTGGTATCCAAAGGAAGGTCTTGTCACAAGGAATACACATGTGGAGTATGAAAGCCATAGCACCAACTGGTCAAAAGTTATTGCCAAGGTTAAAGTCTCATAAAATTTTGCAAAAGTGGGTCAGACTCCAAGGTCAAGGTCAAAAGGTCAGATGTGATGGTACCCAAAGAAAGGTCTTGTCACAAAGAATACACATGTGAAATATGAAAGCCATAGCTTCAACCAATCAAAAGTTATGGTCAAGGGTAAAGTTTTTGCGGACAAACAGACAGACAGACGGACGGACAAGGCAAAAACTATATGCCCCCGAATCTTCGATTACGGGGGCATAATAAATCATTCAATCATCATATTTAACTGAAAGGTATATTTTTTTCACGTTGCAATACAAAATGTACCACTGGAAGGTGCATTCATGTCATTTGAACATAAGTCTAGGTTTTCTTTTTCGTATTGAGCTCTTACATTTGAGTATCTTCAAGAAGAAATAATTCATTAAAAAATGAAAAATCCATGAGACCAAGGTGTATATAATCCGGGGGAGAGGGTTCTGATCACAAGAACATGTAATTAAAACTAAAAGTGAATATCTTCAAAGAACAAAATTTCGAAAATCAGTTCCCATTTCAAGTAGAATCTGCATGAAAATTACTAGTAATAATGGATACCGGGTATATTTATCATCATGCAGATGCACAATCACAAATTTCAGCTCTATATTTAATTACTATATGCAAAACAATTGAAGTGGTTCTGAGCTTTAATATGAGAAATTTACAAAGGATGGTGACGAAAAACCACCCATGTACTGCCCACATGTAATCTAAATTTTCATTAAAACATTTTAAGGTATGTCACTCGTCAGGTTATGAAAAAAAATGATCGTAACCTCTCATGTCAAAATTATCAATTACAGTTCAATTTTTATAGCATATTTGAATTAAACAAATCAAATTATAGATCCCATATTTTGGCCAGTATCTCACAATTTACATCACTGGCCCCAACTTTTTCTTTCACTATTTAAAATTACACGATACTTTCAACCGATCAGCACTAAAGTCATAAAAAGCTTGATACAAGAAAATATTTAATTGCCTGTTAAGATTTTCAATACCCCAAATATGATACTTTATTGATGCAAAAAGGTCACAAGATATTTTATGCGCATTAATTTACAGGATTTTTAAAATTTTCAATATTATTCAAACTACAGTGTATTTCACATAAAATAAGATCATATTTACCTCTGGTAAAATATGATAAAGGTTAAAAGAGTGTTACAATTTCACTGCAAAAAGGTCAAATTATTTGTACCGTTGCTCAGTAGCACTGACCCCAAGTTTTCTTTGTGGTTTTGAATCGTACTGTATGAGTAGCTATCTACAATACTAGTATACTTTTCAAAAAAATTCTTGATATAACTCATGTCACGAGTGACATATCTTAATTTTCGTTGTGAATCTAAACGTCCCTATCAAGGACCATATTCTTGTTTTTTTCGAATTTCAAGGAATAATTTACGTTCAGTAAGGGTGTGATCATTGGCACAACTACGACACATTACGACTGCCTTGACTGAAATTTAATTTTTAGCAAACATTTAAATGTAATATATGGTATACGTTGCTAGTAATTATTATTTTACTATGTATTTTAACAGTGACAGTGGTATTCTTTTGATTCGGAATGATGGTACCATTCAGCTTAAGGGAGATTCCAAAATTCTTGGAGAATATCATCTTAAGCATCGTCTCATGGCAAGACTTAAGCCTGATGGGTCTATGGGTGTTTTTATGATACCTGAACAAGGACCCAACAGTGGAAAGATGTTTGCAGTTTTGCCAAACGGACCGTCTGGAAAAGAAGGTGTTGGATGGGAGCATGTCGTGTCCGGTGACAGTACTTACTTACGACCAGTCTTTAGGCCTATGATAGATAAAAAGGCTACACCAGCTTCAAAAAGTCTGTCTTCAAAATCCGCCAAACCTTCACTTCCTTCAAGTGAGCCTATTGTTATAGATCTATGTGATGATACTGACGCCGTTGAATCGCAGAAAAATGATAATTCAAAGCATACTCAGTCTACTGCACCAACCCCAGTTATGTTGTTCACAAAGGACAGTGCAGCTAAATTAAATTCTAAGTCAATGATTGTTACACCGTCTTCAAAAACGACTCCAGATTCACAAACTCTAAATAGCCAAACCATATCCAGCACTTCAAAAACTGCCAATGCTTATTTAATCAATGATGCAATAACACAGAGTCTAAAAGATTCGACCATTTCAAAAACATTTCAAAATACAACTCCATCTGTTCACAGTGTCTCAAAGAATACGCAGATTATAGGATCCAGTGTTCAGAGGGTGAAACAGAATGAAACTGTAGCACGTGCAACAGTGCAATCAAATAGTCCGTCTGTTACATCAGCTAGAACCATCTCAAACACAGGTATTAGTCAGACACTGGTTTCATCAAATGTTTATCCATCTAAGACATTTAGTGCGTCTCAAAATTACTTACCAACCGTAACCACCTACTTACAACAGCATCCTAGCGTCTCATCAAGACCTACTGTACAGGTACCCTTACAATCTATTACTGGAAGTGGACAGTTGTCTTTTACAACTAATGGTGCAATTCCTGCAGCCAGGATTGTGAATTCAAATTTCAATAATACTGCACAAAATCCAAGAACGCAAGTAGTTCCAACAGGACACCATCAAGGCATTTCCACATCCTTTTCCACGCTTAATCGCGGAGGATTAGTATCATCATCAGCTAAGCCCAGCATGCAAACACCACAATTACAAACAGTATCTTTTCCATTCGTTCCATCATCGTCAGTGACACAATCTCAAATCTCAAATGAAATGAGCCGTATCTCAACAACAGTGGCAAAGAACGTCGTCATTTCTGCAGATGATGCACAACCAACCACAAAGGCACATACAGAGATCAGTGAATCTCCCATTCAAATTAACTCTGTGTTTTCACTTGCTCCAGTTGATCCAATTAAGCCATGGCTGACAAACGGAAAGAACATGCCACTCTCAGAGGTAGATTTCTGGGCAGAGGCGATTAAACTTAAGATATCGGATGAAACTTTGGCTGATAAACGGTTGCGAAAAGGTTGTTCTGTCGTTCTTCAACGTACAACTTCGCATCGACCAACAAAAATGAGGGGATGTCGAGTGAAAGATTCGCAGTGTAGTGTAGCTTGTCGAAAATTATTTGTGAAGAAGCTTTTGAAAGATCTCACGAGGAAAAAGCACTTGAAACTAAAGAGACGATCCATATATGCTTCGTTGAGATTACAAATTAGAAAGAAAGTTAAAGAGACTCGGAGTAAAATATCGGAACCCATGAAAAAAGCTCCACAAAATATCCCAGCTCTGAATAATTTTTCACAGAGAAGCTTAAGCAACCCAGTACAACATCCTACCCCACGGCTTCGGTTTTCTAACTCGGTGCTTTCTGTCAATCAGATAGGCCCTAAAACAACTTTAGCAAATCAAAACAGATATCTGCTCTTGCGGATGAATGGCCAAAATGTCCTTGTTCCAAATCCATGTACCAGTGTCAACTTAAGTTCGTTTGTGTCTGTACCTATATGTGTGACTGCAAATATAGGAACTCCAGCAATACAAGTAAACCCACTGAACAATCCAAGATCTCTTTTAGGGACACGCTTAGCTCTATCGTCTGGAAATTCTTTGACACAAGTTGGTCCAAATTTGCCAAATCCTTCCAGGTCGTCTGTTTCTTCACTACCTCAGTTCAACCCTATCAGCAACGTTCTACCCAGAGTATCAGTAAGCAGTAGTGGTACGTATTCCTTAAATACAACTGTTCAATCTGGAGGTAACATAATTAACAGTACTATCCCTGTGTTCAATCCTCAGTCTGGAACAGTGAGGATACCTGCACCACCTGTAGTCAGTTCTGGTCAGGTTCGGTTGGGAATGGTTAACAATTCTACACCATTTCCGGTCGCTGTTAGAGCAGCAAATCTGGTAAACAAGTCTACTCCCTATCCTGTGGCAGTTAGGACAGTAAATCCACCAGCACCTTCGAGGCCGCTTTTGCAAAGTCAGATGACTGACTTTACAGCTAGACTTGGAACTTCAACAGGATTAAATACTGTTGTTCGAACTCTGCCTCCAACTTCCTCATCGACGTCTTTTTTGTCTTCTCAGGCAACTTTGCTAACATCGACAAGTACTGTAACTACTGCAACATCAGATGCCCAAACAGTTGTCGACGAACCTATCTCAAGTGTGGCAAAATCAAAAGTAAACAAGGGGACTAAATATTATTTCATCCCAGGTGGAGTGAAAATTAAAACAGAACCAAAGTCGTCTGGTTATGGAGAGGAAGAGAAAAAGCATAAGAAACATAAAAAACATAAAAGACCACGATCTCCAAGTAGTGAAGGCTCTATTGAAAAAGCAGATAAAAAACAAAGAGCTGAAACTGAAGACAATTTAGCAGATGAAACCTTGTTAAACGATATTGCCAAGGTGAGTAGTGAGACAGATATTGAAAACTTATCTAAATCTGAGATGAGTGCAGAAAGAATCAAGCAGCTGAGAGAAAAACTGAGTGAAAATCAACGAAAACTAGAGGAATATCTTCGACAAGTTGATCAATAAGCAACTGACATCAAGAGCAGACGATTGCTTTCAAGGAGATGAATCCTTAAGAGGGTTGCCAATACTTGTGAATATGATAAGATGAAACAAGATCTTTAGCTTTAGATAATTTTGACAATGTTTATTGTTTTATGTTATCTACAATTCTGCCAGAGACTGACATTGTGAAAGTCTCAACATGTGTTTTCAAATATGATGCTAGATTAGGGGCTATTTAATGGTTTCCACATTTACATTTAAAGTAATTGCTCTGACATGAGCCCAATTAATTTTCGATGGTCTCATGCAGAAAAAGTGTCTCTTCATTTGCATAAAAATGGAAGAAACAGTGCTTCTTCATTTGCATAATTCACAGTTGTTTGCCTGTTGGAGAACGGATATTAGTATGTGTTTTGAGATTTTTTTTTTCATGTCCGTATTTAGTTGAGCACTACAGGTCTGTGTAGCTCGCTGGTCTAAAAGAATAGGGATGGACGACCAGAGAGATACAGATCCACAAACAGAAGAAAAATTCTATATGTATTGCACAAACAGTGCGAACGTTTAGCAATTCATTTCTCCTAATATTAAGCTATCGCGAGATATTACACCATGTTTTGAACATATTTTTCACCTTCTACAACAAAACATTCCCAACACCCTCTCCCCCGGACCTGAAATAGAGATCATCGAAAATTTTGTCTGTTTATACTGCCATTTTAGGTGGCAAAATAACTCGACCCTCTATTGTTTTTAAGTGATATTGAATAAGATTTTCGTCCATTTAATTTTGATAAAACTTTTGATCTTAATTAACTAAATCTTATTTCAATTGAATAAATCGTAAGGAAAATATTTTTGGCCGCTTTTTCAAACAAATATAGTGATGTGTTCAAAGTACATTATATACTTCATATAACAAGTAATTATGGGCATCTAGTTTTAAAATGTATGTGCAAATCATGCCACTCAAAACACAGTATCGATGGTCTTAATACTATCGGGGGGGGGGGGTATTAACAACGGTTTGGGGGAATGTGGAAGTAGTAAAAGAATATGCTACATTTAGGAACACAAGGTTAATAATATTTTTAGATGGAGCATAAATATGCGGAAAAATAAATCGAGTAACGTGCACCCCTTTGTGTGTCATAGTTACACTTTTTGTGGGTGAATATTTAGTTCTCTGGTCATCCATCCCATTTTTCAGACCAGCGAGCTACAGATCTGCAGCTAGTCAATTTCTGGGGAAATATTTTGTACTTAAAATGTCAGTGCTATGTATAGATTTTAGAGTAAATGTTTTAACTGTACACATTTGAGTTTATTAAACTTTTTTTATCATGCATCTGTTAATATTATGTAGACTATACTCGCATCACTGCTAATAAAAAAAAAAAAGTGGGGTGCGCCATTTCTGATTTTCAAAAGCATTCATTTCTTATTCTTCGTACCTATTTCAAGTTCTTTTATGAAAACTAGAGATAAGGGATTGTGGAAATGCAGACGACCTCTACATTACTAAGTTGAACTGTGTGAACAGGAACAGGACAAAGTTACAGAAAATGGCTTTGGTAACAACTGAGTTTACTTTTCATGCATTAGGAGAAGTCCACGCATAATTCACCTAGTCAATTAAATTGTCTTGAGAGGTCATTTAAGTCTTTTGGTGATAAACAAATGAAATTCTTTAGATATGCATAATATTTCTACATAAATATCCTATTTTAGTTTTTAAATATACATCAAATTAACATATTTTGTTTTAGCACTTTGCATGAAATCTTAATTACTGTCGATGAAATAAATTTTAAAATTGAAAATCGTTCGCAAATAAGTTTCAATGGCTAGTTCACTTAATCACGTGTCTGCTTGCATTAAAAACTACATGACCACTGGAGGAAGCTCATCAATTTTAGAGTTAAAAGATCAAAGGTCAAGGTAAAAATTTCTACCTCTAATAGTACATAATTCTTATCTTTAACTATCCATATCTTATAAAATACTCTGACATTCATCTGAAACATTTAAGAATAGAAATGATTTACCGAGAGATATTTCAAAAAATTAATCATCTAAGCAGTAATCAACAAAGATTGTATTGAGATCTATTATTAGTCAGATAAGTTAATTTCAAAAATAGATTTTAAAACTCTTAAGAATACAAAACAAAAGCTGCGGTGAAAAGAGGCATTTTTATCATAATGCAGGAAAAGGATTTCTGTTGAAAAATATTTAACTGAGTAGATTTAAAAGTTATTTTTTAAAAAGGGCGTTAACTCTTCAAGTACAGGTCAATGCCGGAAATTATGACACTTGATCCTTCCATACAGACAGTTACACGTTTGTAAATGGAAATTTTGTCTAAATACATTGAGTAATACAACAGGACATGTATATCAGTTGTGCATTCAAATTCGTTAAACGAATTCAATAAATTTGTTACAACAGATTAAATTCGTTATAACGAATTCAAAGAAATTGTTAGAACAAATTAAATTCGTTATAACAAATTCGACAATTCGTTATATCAAATTCAAAAATATTTTTTGATGGGTCCTAAATGGGCTTCCGTACTAAATGGGCTTTCGTAGAACTCACTTAAATCATATACTTCACACAATTAAGTTGAGTATGTGATTCCCTCCCACTTTATCACCACACATTCCCTTACATTCGAATGTATGGATCCACCACTAGATCTTAACAATAGTCAAACTCATGTTTATTTTTCCCCGCTTTTTTTTTTTTTTTTTTTTTTTTTTTTTTTTTTTTTTAAGCGGGGGTTACTGATCTGTCTGTTATACTGTTTGTCTGTAAAATTTTCTTTCCCGGATGTTATATCAAAAAGTACTAAAGCTTTACATCATAACTCCCTATGACTTAAAAAAAATCCCTTTTGATTTTGAAGTCAAAACTGGCGTCGTGGGTCAAAATTTTACATTTAGTGTATGGGACATTTATTACTGCATCTAACGATAACGAAAAATAATATGACCCTAACTGATTCTGAGGTGAAAGGTCAAGGTCACATACTTTCAGCGGGGAACATACATTCCTTTATTCAGCTTACTATATAGCGTTTTGTTGGATGTCTAAAAATGACAAGGTAAAAGAGAAATCCTTTTTTTCAACGGCGGAAATAATTTGAAAAAATATCACAAGAGGTAGGAAAGAGACGGACGGGCAGACTTCCCAATATATATACCCACCTTTTCAAGCAGGAGGTTATAAAAATTGCTTTTGAATAGCAGGCTTAATTGTCAATAGAGGTGCGATCTGGTGGAAAACCAAGTGGGATGAGCAGACAGAACGAGGGACAGAACAGACAAACGAAAGGAAACCTGTATAGTCCCATCTGGTTTCACAGGTATATATAGGGGACTAATAGTCACCATGTGTAGAACTTTGTGCATGCAACATACAAAATTGCCGCTGCTGTAAGGAAGATCAGTTCAGGTTGACATATACACTATAGGTATATTGCTTGCATTAGTGGATTTTTTAATCTTTATTTTTATCCATGCTTTGAGCTTTCAAAGATTGTAAAATGTGGCGTGAAGATGCCTCATACTGTCAACTGGGACACTGACCAAAGAGAGGCAAAATGTTCTCAGGCTGGTCGATCATTGGTATGACATTTATAAAGAGTCTCCTCTGGCTTTTCAATTAATAATTCGTGGAGATTCCCTAGTCTCTTAAAATTTGATCTCTTGGTTTTATTGTGGACAAATCTTGGCCAAAGTTAATGAGAGATTTGAAAAAAAAAATTGTGCTAATGAAAGAAAGAAAACCATTTTGCCTTTTGCTTCTCATACTTCTCAAACAGATTCACCATTTGACATTATTTTTAAGATATTACAGTGTTACTTTTCATAGAGACAATTAAACGAAAGAAAAAGTAGAAACTTTTCAAATCTTAGTTTAGGTTAAAAAAAAATCAAGATAAAATTCAGATCTAAAAGTAATGAATGATACAGAGAGAGAACTTTCACAACTGTCGCAAACTGAACGTAGATATAAAAAAAATGTAACGGCATATAAACTAAAGGACACAATACGTCTGGGCATTCAGGCATAACCTCATAACAATCAAAAAGGAAAGGGGTCATCGACAAAACCTTTTGTTGATTTGGAAGGACAAATGTCAAGGTTATATTCTGTGTGGGATTGAATAAATAATGCATTTACCATTAAGCAAAAAATAAGCGTTGGGAAAGGAATGAGTCTGGTCGTAACATCTGCATGTAAAGCTATGTATGGATACACGACTGACTTTAAAAACTGGAATATTATAGGAGAAGTTCGGGGGGTGAAATTGGAATGACGGGGTACAATACCTCATGGGCACACCCCTATCAAAAGTAATGTGACCCTCGATCCTGCCTTTCCTCTGGAAATTTATAACATATTTTATATTATTAAGATTTAACAAAATGTTTTAATTACATTTATAATATTAATTATCATAAGCCGACTATATATGTATAAACTGTATGTTTTACAGATCGATAAAAATCAGTAAATATTGATGGTAAAATGTTGAAAATTTATGTTCATAATACATATTTTGATCTTTCGACAGATACTAATTATAAAGTAATAAAATTCACAGAACATCATAAAGTTAGCTGAACATCGGGTTTACACAAAGCATCCATTATTATGATTCTTTTGTACTGAAAAGATCATTCATAGCCATTTAACTTTTTATGATATGTTTTTGAACCTCGGTTACTGAAGTTTGTCAAAGATCTATACCGAAAAAGATACCGTGCCATAAATGTGTCTTCTGCTGAATATTTCCCCCACAAGGTCCCCAGGATCAGCTTAGTAACGTGCCGCTTGCGCATGCGTTAACAAAACATGTCTGGAAAATGGCGGGTTGACTTTCAGGAGGTTTAAAAGGTAAACAAAGCATCATATTTACATCTTGCATGCTATTAATCTACTCATGCATCACGGTGTGCAAATGTAATACACAACGACGCATCACCAGAATGCTTCCATTTTTATCTTGAAGCTTTTTCATGCCACACTGCACAGTTATATGTCCAATGCATAGAGTTTAGACAGTCATGCAAGACTTCCAACTCCCCTAAATATTTTTTTTTAATGTAGCTTATTGATTTAAATAAATTTTGCAAAGTCCTTCTTTGTATATGTTACTTTGTGTCAGAAACTTTTTTTAAACGAAGCACATTCATTAAATAAGTAAGTGAATCAAGATTGGATTTTGGTTAATCCGAGACTTTTATATTCTGTCATGTGGAAGTGATATAGTCGGAGCATTTCGATCATGGGGTTTGGTTAGCTTTATTGAAAAATTAAACATAATTTGAATGTTGTACATACTGTTTATAAGCACTGTGATTGCCAACAACATTCAACATAGTTTGATTTCGAGAGCTGCTTCTGTTTAAACTAGGTGGATTTTGTTGTGATCAGTGTGATTAATCAGTGCAAAAGTCAAATTATCAAACGTGAAAAGGCTCATTTTATCTTCCTACATTAATTTACCAGCCTTAAGATTGATCACCTTGAATTAAGATGCTAATGACTAGTGTAATGGTATGGACCGTGGATATCGGCCTGGATAGCTCAGTCGGTAGAGCACCTGACTAGTGATGCAGGGGTCCCAGGTTTGATTCCTAGTCCAGCCATACATTTTCTCCTTTCCTGTTATACTAGTAAGAAAAAAACCCAGTTTCAAGGAATTTCCTAGTTTCAGTATGGCTCTGAATTTCCCCTGCACATGTCTGTATTGTCATAGTTTAAAAATGGGTTAAGAGTTGGAGGAAAACTATGTAACCTTAAAATTTGTTGGGGGATGCTCTGCTGGCATCCTACCATACTTTAGTTATTCCTGATTAAAGCTTTGGCCAAATTGAAACTTTCTGATGGAATCAAGGATCTAAGTAATCTCTATGAGAAAGTTATCATTGTTATTCAGATTTCATACGTGGAGATACAATGCATTTGTGAAAATTGTCATTTTACAATTCTATGAAAATTGTATAAGATGCCATAAAATTCTAGTAATTGTTCTATGGTGGACCATAGAAATGCACATTTTTTTTTAGGATTAAGATTGTTAGAGTAAAATATGTGCTTTTCATTTGTTAGTGGTGATAAAAGCTCAGAGTGTGAAGGTCATGGAGGAATTGGACAAGCAGGCCCTGGGAAAAGAAAAAAGAATGAAAACATCAACCCGCCGCCTGACACACAACGATGATAAAATTCTGGGTCAGAACACTATGCGCAAAAAGGAAGTGGTGGTGGAGAATCAGAAGTTCCACACCAATAAAATGAGGACATACGCTAGTGCTTGGACACCTGTTGTCAATAAACCAGCCAATGAACAGGTTAGTTTTGAAATAATTAACTGCCATTCAATAAACTTGGCAAATACGGTAGCTTCTTTTCTTAATTTATGAAAACACACATGGCTCCTTTCTAGAATGTATATAATTTACAACTGATAAAGAGGATAATATGAAATGGATTATTGCAATTGTCTAAGTATTTATCTATATATAAAGTATTTTATACTTGAGTGCATTGTCTTAATTTTGCAGATATTTAATGAAAGAAGGGATCTGATTTCTCACTGGGTATGTATTGCACAGATTGTGTAATTTAATAATATTGCTAAATTATACACCTGAATTGGCGGATCGCCGATTTTTGATTGACGGGAATATTAACCAATCAGAACGCTCGGTTTACACACACCTTCTGAAGCTAAGGACGCGCCGCCATTTTGCCTGACAACAGCGAAAAAGTCGACATTACATCGGAAAGTTTATGAGCGCTCAGTTATGATAAAACGTTATTGTTGGGATATTTGCAACACTTTTAGAAGAAGCCCCGATCATTCCCAAGTAAGAAAAGTGTTTGTCCTTTTCTGAAACCTCGGAGAGACTTTGAAAAGCGAGGTGATGTTACAAATCTGATATGTGCATGGTTGGTTCCGTCATCTACAGTATCTGTTGTAAACAAGAAGATGCTCAACAAATAAGTTAAGACAAGAGTGTGTTCGAAGGTAAGTAGCTAATTCTTCCATGTTTACAGTCATTGCACGATTAAAAAATATTCACACATTGAAAATCCATAAGTTATAGGCCCTATGCAGTGTTTTCCCCAGAAAATTTTTAATGCATGGGGGGAATTTTGCTGAATTGACGGCGCGCGGCGTGTCTCGTTGAGTTACTTGTGCATGTATCTGAATTTATATTTAAATGAAAAATACAAATGCATCATTCATTTATATTTTTTTTTTAATTTAAATGATATATTTTGAATATATTGTCAATTTAACTTTTAAAAAAGCTAAACAATTAAGTTCTCGTTTATAAAATTAGATATAATCACAAAAAAATGTTCTATTTTATTTTCCTCTAAAGCCACTGTCTTTTTATGATGTTAAATGTGCTGTGTTATTCTTGCTTCCTACAAACTGAATAGGCCCCTAGTGACCCCCCCCCACCTTTTTTTATTTACTACATTTTTGGGGGGATGTCCCTACTTTTACAGTCATTTTTAAACAGAAAGGGTGCACATTATGTAGCATCATTGCTTACATGTAAATATTGTGACAACATTTAGTACATTGTTGTCCGACTTTTTTTTTATTCAACGTAAGCTGTTGATGTGGATCAAGCATGTGCGCTTGAACTATAAGTATGTATAGTTCATAGAGTAAATAAACAATGATAATATTTATTGGATATGTTTATTTTAAGCATATTTATGCTAAAAAATGGCTTTAAAATTATGTGTTTAACTAATGAATCATTTTTGGTGTCGGAACATCAATGCTATTTATAGAATGACCTGTGGATGTTGGAAAAACCCAATTGTCCATTAACAAGTGTATTACTTTCACCGTGTGTACTATCTGACAGAAATTAGTAAATTTTTCATGCTTATAAATATTTTTAATCAATAAAAGCTTAATACTTGGTAACATATCAGTAAATTGCAATAAACATAAATTGACAACTATTGCATCATACCCCGTACCGCGATTCGCATCGAGTTCACCACAGGTGCGTAACGTGTACAGTACACGCTATGATTCTAGTGCTTTGAATTGTTTTATTGAAAGATTAATAACTGATAACATTCGAAGTATATCTTCTTAAAATAGTCTATCTTTAATAATTCATGCATAGCGGGAAGCATAGCGGCAATGAGTGATGCATGGCGGGGGATCGTGAATGCATGGCGGTACCGCCATGCAAAAACGGCCTGGGGAAAACACTGCTATGTATTACTGCTGTGAATAGTTACAGGTCAAGTTAGGCCTATATATAGATCTGCATACCCGGCCTGTGTATGACACATATGTGTATGTGTGTCATCAGATAGAAAAGTGATGAATAAGCTATAAGTTAATATGAAATTCTTATGAGCAAGTCCAGCTAACCTGTCCCTCATTTCACATCCGTATATAGGCCTAATATATATAGATCTATTCTTATTCTTACAAGAGCCTAACAGATATGTACATGTACAGTGTAACTATTTACTTAGGAATACAGGTAGATTTGTGTCTAAAAATGACACAAGAATATTAATAGTTATTATGTACATTGTATTTTACTCACCTATGTTATTGTTATTTCATTATTTTGAACTAGCAACACTACATATGCCATTGAAATAAATGTTTTCTTAAGTCTTCTTCATAGAATATTGTACATGTAACAGTTGTAAGTGTAGAATTTTTTCAGATACGTAAAATTTACTATTCTAAAATATGTTTATATTTTTATTACTTATAGCATTTGTTGATGGACAGGCATTTGATAAATACTCTGATCCAGTGCCTGCAGTTAGAAATGAATCAGTATCTCCAACTAAAAAACCTACCAAAAGAGAATCAAATTCTTTGTGAAAGCTACACCAAAGCAGAAAATCTTCATGGACATGTTTACCCATACCGAAATAAGTTATAACTAAGTTATAACTTTTCTGTAACTTTTTTGTACCTCAAGAAAAAGTTACATTTTAGTTATAACTTTTCTGTACCTAAAATGGACTTAGCCATTTTTAGATGTAACTAAAATATAACTTTTCTGGACTTTGTCATTTTACTGTATAACTTTTTTGTACCTTTTTGAACTTAGCCATTTTCTGGTGTAACTAAAAGATAACTTTTCTGGACTTTGTCATTTTACTGTATAACTTTTTTGTACGTTTTTGGACTTAGCCATTTTCAGATGTAACTAAAACATAACTTTTCAGGACTTTGTCATTTTTCTGTGTAACTTTTTTGTACCTAATTTGGACTTAGTCATTTTGCAGAATGGCTACTTAGTTAAACTGAATATTTTGGGTTTTTTTTTTTTTTTTTTTTTTTTTTTTTTTACCATACACCTAAATTAAATTTTTTTTTATATAACTGTTGAAATTTAAACATATAAAATAATAAATAAGCATAATTATATTAGTATAGTAATACAGTTTTACATACCTGTAATATCTACAGATGATATGAATAAAAAGGTGGGGATGATTAAGGGCTACATAAAGGTACCACTGTTTATATGCAGAATTTTCTTTATCTAAAAATTATTCATATAATGAATTGCATTATATACTGCTATTACTTACGCAGACATTTATTTTTCTGTTTTGTTGTGAGTTGAGATTTTTTTTTTTAAAAAGAAAAAGGGGGGCTTCTTAGACATCTTTACTACCAATGTTTTTCTCATCCATTGCAGTCCACAGCCACATCCACTGTTAAGTTCAACAGAAGAAATGTGAAGTTGAGACTTGTAGTAAATTACATCTGAAGTTGGGAATAAATCTCTCTCTAAATCTCTCTCTCTCATTAATAAATATTTTTGTTTAATTAATATTTGTCTTGTAAGTACTAGTTTCATCTAAAGTTGGGAATAATCTCTCTCTCTCTCTTTCTCTCTCTCTCAGAAAATACGTATTATATATATTTCATGTTTTGTAAATTATATGCATGTACATCTTAAGGTGGAATAATTTCCCTAATTCTGGAGAAATATAAATGTTCAAGAGATATAAACAGTGGTCAAATAATATAATCTCATGAAGTCATTTAATATTTTGCACAGATTTTTCTTCGTGTGCAAAACAGTGTTAATTTCTCCATTGTTTTCTCGTGACACAGGTGTTTGTACTAGATGACCTTTTTGGCCTACACTTCGTAAATTTCAGCTTGTGTATTACGCAATGGTACAATTTTACAAGGGTTGTTTGAAATTTAAAGTAAATCAATCGTAATAAGGGTGGCTAGAAAGATAAACAACAACATACAGTGTATGCATGTTCATTTATTAACAGATATTACGATGTTGGGAATAAAGACTGCCAGTTATATTAAGATTTTAGCAAAAGACTAGGACATGTGGATTTTATTATTTGCCTGATTAAATAACCCAGTTTTACTAGTTATTTTCATAAATAAATAAAATATTAAATTCAAAATGGCGGCAACGACACAAATATGGCGGCAACGACGTCCGTTTTGTCCGTTTTGTTGGAACTCTGTTTCAAAATTTTAACACCAACTGGCTTTTTAATATTTAAGATAAGTTTCAAAATACACAATTATGTTTATTTGGATTTAAAATAAATTAACTATGAATTATTTATTTATTTATTTTCAATCACGTGACTTATTCTAAGTCTCTGATTGGTCAACAACAGAGCGCGGATTTTTTCATGGACGATTTGAATGTTGGTGTGTTGAAAGTGTTGATAGAAAAACGATGACAAAATCATTCGGTAAGGCAATATTTATGTTAATATTTTGATGTTTTTGGTAGGAAATGTTTATTACCTCTAGATGGGCATTCAAAAAAGAAGAAATATGTAGAATGAACAAAATTCTAGGCATGTGAATCTCAGATTTCTTGTTTGTTTTGATTGGTATGTCAATGACAAAGACTGAAGTGAAGAAATTGAAACAATATTTTTTCAGCATTTAGTATAGGAACAAAAAATGTTATTCTTTGTCATATTTAATTCTTTAAATATTCCTATAGATCAGTTTAATTATTAAATGACCTATATTGTGTAATTGTTTAACAGATTCTCTGAACTGTTTTAATATTGTACATATTGTAGCCTTTAAACACCACATGATCTTAACATGATATAGTGTACTGAAATTTCTAATTTTTATTTAATTTCAGCAGTATACTGGTACATTATTTCTTTCCATGAGCATCTCATGTCTGTGCCAAGCTGGAGTGAAATCCTTCAAAAATATCACCTGTTTTAGGTAAGTAAATAATCAAATCTTATTTTTATTTCAAATTCAATAAATCTAAAGCTAATTCCTATAAAGCTGTCAGGTTCTATATTGTTCTTTATGTTTAAAATTTTTTTTAATGCATGTTTATGTGATGAGCCTTGAGGTTGAATTTTCTCAATTACACAACAGAACTCTAATTCTTGTTTTCCAAGTTATAGATGCATATGCCTTGAATTTGAATGAATTGATATTAAAGAGTGGTTCCAATCTGATATGCTTTGAGTGCAGGAAACACTTCAACTTTTTTTTAAAAGAAAAAATATTTAAAGTTTGAACCTTTTTAATTTTTGCAGAATTGAAGAAAAATGAAGAGAAGGTTCAAATTGCAAGCATATTTCAAATGAAGACTCGGACGACTACCAGTGCAGGCCATTGAGGGGTGCAGACCGTCTGCCGGCCGGCCAAGTCCCTCGACCAGCTCGGCCAAATACCAGTGCAGCCTGTCGAGGGGGACATACTGCTGGCCGGCCAAGTCCCATGACCACTTCAGCCTACTACCAGTACAACCTGTCAAGGGGCGCAGACCTCTGGCCGGACGGCCAAGTCCCTCGACCAGCTCGGCCGACTACTGGTGCAGCCCGTCTTTAAATAATCCAGATAAAAATCACAACTGTACATCCACAAGGATACCTGTGCAAGGACTTGGGTGGTATGCAGCTAAGAACTGTGACCGAAATCACTGCTTAGAACCTTCTTTTTTTTTTTTTGAAGTACAGCTAGATCATGGCGCTAACATGAAAAACTAGAGAGTTAAAATCTAGGCAGTGATGCCTATTTATAAAAGTTCACAAGAGTAGAATGCAGTTTACTAGGTAATTTTACAAAAACTCTTATGACTATATGCTAAAAAAATGTATTTTAAGAAAACAACCCTTCTGAGAAATTTCAATCTGTTATGATGGCTTGATGAAAAATAAGGTAGACTTGAAAACATGAATGTGCATTCATTCAATTGTATTTGACAATGAACCAAGCTCTCTTAATCATGTTTATAAAATAAAATTGTAAGTGCTTTTAATTTTTTTTAAATAATCTTTTTTGTAAAAATTTTAATAATCTTTTTGTAAAAATTTTAATGAGTAGCTTTTTTAAAGCCTATAATTGAGTAATTCCACCACAGGTTAACATGAAGTGTATAATTTTATTGTAACTTTTATTAGGTATAACTTTTTGTAGTTATAACTTTTTTTTAGGTATAACTTTTCTGTAACTTTTTCATAACTTTTTCATAGTTATAACTTTTCTGTAACTTTTTCATAATCTTTAAAGTTATAACTTTTCATGGGTATAACTTTTTTTAGTTATAACTTTTTCATAACTTTTTATTAAGTATAACTTTTTTATAACTTTTTAAATAACTTTTTCCGGGTATAACTTTTTTGTAACTTTTTCCACCATTTATTTGGGTATAACTAAAGTATAACTTTGTAACTTTTTTATAACTTTTTGTGTAACTTTTAATAAGTATAACTTTTTGTAGTTATAACTTTTTTGTAACTTTTTGCACTTGCTGTATTTATGTTGAAATAAAAAATGAAAACTTATACAAAAGTTATAACTTTTTTGTAACTAAGTTATAACTAAATTATACCTCACTTAAAACAGGCGGTTCCAAACTCCGATAACTTAGTTATAACTTTTTTGTACCTTTTTTTAGTTACAAAAGTTATAACTAAGTTATAATTTATTTCGGTATGGGTACTGTTACGTAAGTTCTAGTTTATAAACCTGTAATCAAATGTAAAGCATTCTATGATAAATACTGTAATAATGACTTCAATGTCTACCACTTCGAAATAATACAAATATTATATACATGAAATGTATATTTCTCCCATTTTTGAAAATTTTTATTTAAGGCATATTATGTTAATCTTTCACTGTATTCAATTTGAAGGAATTGGCACAATAAAACTGCTGGAATGTGATATGTGCAGGTGATCAGCAAATCACATTCATCCATGAGATCAACATGTCTCAGCTACAGATGAAGTTCTAAGCACCAGAAAACAATTATGGAAAACAATGACCCACATATTCTGGTAATTGTCATATGTTTATATGAGCATCAGTACCAAAGACAGTTTATAATATTCCTGAAAATTGATGTTGTAAAGAAAACTTCACTGTTACTGAAATCAAAATTATTGAGTAGAAAAGTAGAGTGTACTATTAAAAGTAGGTGTTTAACTTCAAGGCAAGATAAACCTGAATACATGTCATGTATGACTTTTAATTAGTATAAAAATGTAATAAAGACAAGTTGATGACAGATCTCTCTATTTCACTGAATTGAAGTGACATATAAAAATACAATAACACACATTATGTACATGTACACTGTTTACATTTCTTGGCTTGAATTTTTTCTACATGTATTACATGTGTACATTACATTTTTAATTGGCTTAAAATGTTGGACATGACTCAGTCTGAACTAAAACATCTATAGTTCACATGTTCTTGGTAAATGTTTTCTATTAAACACTTAAACATCTATAAATAGTTCAAATGTTTTAAGTATACTCTAAAGCATAAATGCATGTATGTAATGGAATCAAAAAATGAAGCTCCTGTCAAGTGAAGCCTCCTTGCACTTGGTTCCATTGGGCTTATTCATGTGTCAGGGTTTGAATGCGTTCAGGGTAAACTTGGAAAGGTAGGGCCTTTGGAAAAACATAATTTCCACATTTTACTACTGCATCAGTTTCCAGCCCTGGTATTGGTAAAATAAGTGGTGTCTGAAAATATATTAAACAGTTGACCATCATGTTATGGGATAAAAATTGTGACTGAAAAATGCATTGCAATATTTGACATATATGTAATATTTAAGTAAATATGCATTTGCTTTACTGCCCTTGATACAGCAAATAAACTGCATAATGTTTTCTTAAATATAAATTGATATTTTGCAGGTTGTAATCCCCCTGCTGAGAATATTGCATTACTGAAGAGAACAAAACTTTTCCAATTAATTTTTGAATTCCAACAACTTAAGCATTAATCACATGTGATGTTATTTTAAAGTCTGGTTTGATGTCATGTTATTGTTTTAGTGCCAACATATGAAAAACCAATCAAAAGTTAAAGCTGCCATATCATTCTCAACAAGGAATAAATTTGACAAAATTTTAACATTAAATTTGTTTATTATCAGTTCTGTTTCTATCATCTGTAAGACTGGGAAAATAGCAAAATCTGAGCTGTACATATAGAACATGCTATTTCTGATAAAAAAAAAGAAGTTGCATTTAAATATTGCCAAGGAAAATAAATATCTGTGATTCTTTGTGTTGTGGACATAACTCAGTTCACTGCCTACATTAATTATTTATTGACTAATAGTCATGACATATTAAAGATAACTGCAAAATTTTAGTGTGTTGTTATAATTTTATCAAATGAATCATTAATGAATGTTTATTTTTCTCCAATGATTTTTGCATCTGATTTGTGTGTTTATTAGATGACTGATTTTATAAACTGATGAAGTTACACAAAGCTGACATGGGGCTTGCACCTTCAAATAATATAAATTTAATATAATATCAATATAAAGTAGAGACATAGTGCTTTCAGTTTGTATGACAAAGTTTCCTGTAAATAGCCCAGGTATATATCAATTTAAAATTGGCCGTGAGAGAGAGAGAGAGAGAGAGAGACTGAAAAGATAAAAAACATCAAATAATTATTAATATATGCTACTACTGAAAAGGATCATTTAATAAATCATGTATCACACAACTTCTCCGAGTGAGGTTGTAAAGGCCCAAGCTCAATTATAGGTGTCGGAACAGTCAATCTGCATGCACTTTTATAATTAATATTTTAAAAGAATAAATAAATTTTTACGTTCTAACAAGAAAAAAATTAATAACTTAGAGTTACCGTAGACATACCCAGCATTGTCGCTGCAATGTACATCGTCTGATATCTTCTGCATTATGCATCTGGAAGTTCCAAGTCCAATGTTGACTTTCGCTGATTTCGGGAATAAGGGCGTAAATAATCTGAAGATTTCTTGCTTTTGTGTGCATATAGATTGACAGCATTAATGTAAACGTCTTTCATAAAGGTTACGACCCTTTTTTATGGTAAAGGAGCATTGTGTTTAATAAATAAAACATAGAAAAGTCGTCTGGAATGTCATTTCATAGTACTGCATTGGCCATATTGTTTACATCGAATGTCGGGCATTTCACTTCATAGTTACCGTCGTCATGGTGGGCGGGGCTTAAGCGAGGATCTGCGATCCGCCAATTGTGCATTTGAGTTTGCACAGAATATTTCTGCATTATAGAAAGAATATTAGAGTTGAAGCTCATGCAATGTATTTTATTCCAGTAGGAAAATATCCAAAAAATTCAATTATGTTCTATAATATATATAGATTAATTTGTAGTATATTAAAATATCACCAATTTTCCCCTTTTTTGTATAGTTTGATCTTTGGACTGACTCTCAGAGGAAGAGATTTTTTGCTGCCATCTTTCAACAATGTCAACGCCCCCAATATAAGTTTGTACAGAACTGGTTCCAGGACAATGTCCCTTTACAGCATCTGGATTTCACCACTGTCCTCCCAAAGTTCCTCTCCCTTTATATATTCTCCTTCCTGGACCCTCAGTCTCTATGTAGGTGTGCTCAGGTGTCCTGGCATTGGAAGTTTCTGTCTGAACAGGTGTGACACACTTAAAAGTACTTTTCTTCTTCTAAGGAATTCTTCTTGAAGCTGATCATTTGAATTAGGTCAGATAAACAGGGAATAGGACTAATGATTGAAATGTTTTCAGATTCTTTTACGTCTTATGTTTAAGCATGTTTGGTATCTAAAAGCATCAGCAAAACTTATTGCCTTTGTATGCCTTTACTTGAAGTCGTGGTCTTTATGGGGGGAAAAAACCCAAATGTTCCAAATTTTGATGACATTTTAGATACCAAACAAAAATAACATAGTTTAAAATCGAAACAAATTGTTATTGCAACAGAATAAAGTTGATAGAATAAGTCAGATGTTTGTTTATCGTGGTCATGTTTTACAGGATGTTGTATGGATGCCCAAATGTTTGAATTATGGCTGGTTTCTCCCTTACAAGGCACCAGACAATGAGTATGGGGCCTGGAAGAAGTATTATCTGGGATGTGTTCAGACACCGGATTACAGACCAGCACTGGACATCCAGGTGAGCAAATACTTGTACCTGGGTATTTCTTTTTTTCTGAGAATATATGCACATTATCACTGATAGGACCAAAAATATTGACTTGGCTATTATCGTTGGAGACTTTCCCCCCCATGGAAATGCAAGGCTTATATTTGTTGTATGTCCTGTATGTAGGAATCCAAACCAGTTCAGACCCAGTCTCCTGGCAAGAAGAAGAAACATCCCAAGTCTGCCAGGGGGTCCGGAAGAATGTCCCCCACAAGTAGCAGTAAGTCTACCTTGTGTACCTTATGAAATCTGTCTTAAAGGCAGGGCAATCACAAGTAGATGAAAAATGAAAAATTTATGTTTGTATGGTTAATGGTTTATATTTAGGACAAATATGCTGCTTTTTATTTGACCAAAAGTAACTATAACTTCTTTATTTAGTAAAGATACACTTCAAATCAAAGTGCTCATTTTGATGACAAATTTTACTTCACTATTCCAAGTGATGTTCATTTTAAAATAATAATGTAGATATACACAACATATGAATTTATTGTGATTTTGTAAAATATTCCTTCAGTTCTTCATGAAGTATTTGCAGTGTGTGTCATACATGTATTAAGCATGATAAAACTATATGTCTTTTTATCACCAGGCACAGCAATGAAGATCCGTCCCCCATGGGTATCTGCCTCATTGAAGCCACATGACCTTGACAAGTCTTTCTATGCCTTTCTCCATGGTGCTAATCCAAATGACCCTAAATTACCCAAGTCTGCCCTTGTCTACCACAACAAGTGGGGAATCGTCAGGAAAAATCATGAGCTGGCACTGAGCAAGTCTCATGATTTTGATCTTGGACTGGGATCTGCTCACAGAAAGGAAGGACACAGGCTCATGACAGTATGTAAAGGAAGCATGTTTATAGCTTCATTTTAAAGGGGATATCTAATTCTGTCAGAATTTACAAGCTACAGTAAAATTTGTTAATAAGAAATTATAGGGAATCTTTTTTCTTTAAACTTTGCTAATTAAATGACTTACCTCTTTTTGCCCACTTTTCCCTTGTTCTTCAAATTTTAAATGTTCATAATCAGAAATCTGATCAGGGTTCTGTTGGTGACTTTCTCTGGTCAAAACCAGTTAAACAAAGTAAATCTACTTCTGCATTCTCACAAAGTGTTGGTGATCTATGTATGTCTAAATTTATAGCTTTAGATCCAGACCTTTATGAATACTAGTATCCACCACTTACGAGAATCCTCTGCAATTTTAACCTTTATGTGTTGATTATCAGTTTTTCTTTGTTTTGTACTCAAATTTTAGAACCAAGTATTTTTGGTTTTGTATGAATTTGGTATATTGAAAAAAAGAATATTGATTTTTTTTTTTTCAAATGATAAAATGAAGAAATGTTTAAATATTTAAGTCCAGATATGACTGCGATCTGAACAAGTCAGCACAGAGAAAGTCTCTGTCGGAGGTTATGGACTTAATTAATCTTGAGGAGAGACGTAAGAAAAACCTGGTGGATTCCCCCTGGAACCCCCCAGTACAGGGGAACAGGACCAAGATGCAGTGGTTTGGGTAAGACTTGTAATATATAAACCACAGTATACCATAAATTTCTTATTACAGTTGTTAAATGGTTAATTTAATTACAACATGTAATGTAATGTACATACATAAATTTTATTGAACATCTGAAAATTGATGCAAAATACTGTGAAGTGATTCTGTTTTGTGGAAAGAGGTTCAATTATATATTTTATTGGAGCCCCTTTGCAACAAATTTATAACTTTCGTAAATACATGTATGTATGTATGTGGATGAAATCTTTCATTACAGAAGTTGCCCCAGGAATGAAGTCCCCCAAAATTTGAAAAATTTTAGCAATCATCAAATAAATGTACAGTTTTTTCCATTAAAAATGAGTTTGCTCTGTCAACCTGTTTAACATAAAAAATATGATTTTGTTGTAAAAGAATTTTAACAACCAAAAAAGTTTGCTACATGTACATATAGATTGTCTATTAAAACATGCTGAAAATTTACAATATTTATAGTGTAAATTTTAATACATGTATATACAAATGAGTCAATACATTTGTAAGTTCTGTTTTAGGAGTGACACTCTTATGTCTGGTTACGAGGCATACCCTACCTCAACAGAGTTCAGGACCCTCAGTAGAACTCTCCCTCTAACAGGAATAGAGGAGGCGGACCACCCACGCGTTGTCTTCATCTCCTCCCGAGTTCCCGCTGCTGATGTAAGTGGGAGTAGCACAGTCACTGCTTGTTAAACTTTCCCGATTACACGAAAATAGAATCGATACTAAGTCTATTAAAACTTAGTTGAAAGGTTTCTGTATTGATTGTGTACATAAATATGCAAGTTTCATATTAGGAAATTTTTGATTTGACATTACTGTTAAAATTCATGATCATTGGCAAAGTACGATTCTGTGTACAGTTAAACACAGAAATGGATTTTTATTGCACAGTGTAGTCCATTGGGTAGATTTGCCCTTAATTTAACTGAAATAAAAAGCTTACCAACAGTAAATGACAAATTACATGTATCATTATGAAAGAAAACATAATGAAATGTTTGAATTTGTAGTCACTTTACTTTTTGTTATTATTTTTTCTGAGTAATGCGTCCTTTTTCCAGCTGTTGGTTGATGCTGTACTGTTTTTTTTTTCCAGCTGTTGGTGGATGCTGTCCTGTTTGGGGTGATTCCTGTTGTGTATGAGTATGAAGGAACAACATCAGAAGGACTGATGATGAAACTGGAAAAAGTCCTGGCAGGACGCAGAGCAAAGTAAGATTTCTTTCCATTTACTCCGATAAGAATTTATAAGTTGTCAAGTCATACATGTAGAAGTCATAATGTGTTTCTAAAATATCTTGAAAAAGAAATAATTTGAACAAAAAGTTTCATGTTATAAAGAATTTTGATGCCTTATTTAGAAAATTTATTAAGAAAAATTTATGCTTTACCTCTTACAGGAGTATAGGACTGTTTTGTCACTCAGAAGAACCAGGAGAGCTACGATTGGCTCATGGCTGCACTGTTACTATGGAGACATTGTATCGAGCAGACATCATGGATTTCTTCACCAAGGTGTGCAGACGTAACATTCTGCCCACTGATCAGGGAGGACAGTTTGATATATTTGTTCCTTTGGCAGCAAGTGGTGGGTATTTTTTTAAATTACAAACTTTAATTAAACATCTTTAGTGGTAAAGCCTATGCACTAAAACATCAGTGATAAGTGGAAGAAGGAGTCAAATTAATGATGATTAGATCAATGCCTGACTTGATATCACCATACAGTTTTGGTGTTGATCAAGATGTGACTAACTAATCTTCTCTCTGAAATATGACTCCATTTGTCCTGTTGGAGGAGATCATCAGAATTCAGGAGTGTTAAAAATAGTAGTTTGCATACCAATTTTGGAAAGATCTTGATAAATGGATTTGTATTGTAGAACCAGGACTGGAGATTTTAGTTCAGTTAAGCATTAGGACAGAACTTCAGTTTTCCTCACCAACTGGTATTATAGGAAACTTCAATCATGGTGGGTACATATTCTACACTGATGGTAGTTTAACAGCTCTTAAATGTTCAAACTTTTGAACTCCAATTTTCTTTCTTTTTTTAATTTCTGGCTGATTGAATGAGAAGATGTGTGTTAATTGGTATTTTAGGGGAAATATCAGTGTATAATAAGTTTTCATTAAGATCAAAGATGTGGTAATGCTAGGTGCTAATGCTTCTGGGTCTGTGTTCATGAAATATTTTTGTAACCACTGAAATAGATTGAAGGGTTACACTAATGTGTCTTACATTGTCTTACATTTCAGTAAACTCTGACTGGATGATTCCTTACAAAGAGGGACGACCTGCTAAAACCGTTCAGCCTCCCCAGGTATACTTCTGTCAGAGCAAACTGGACGTGTGGTCACATGTCGCTGACCAGGCTATTGAGGCATTATCTTCCTGTAAACAACATCTAGGTCATTTCCTGGAAAACACCCACAGAGACATCGTTTCCCAGCTGACTGGTCAGTTACCTTTCATGTATTAACCTGGTCAAATTTACATTCACTGAATATTTCTGTTTTATTTCTTGTGAAAACCATAGTGTTACTGCTGTTTATCTGAAACAATTTACTTCTTAATTACATGAAGTTAGATCTGCTTGTTTATATGAGAAAAGTCTCATTAGTTTTAAGATCTGTAGTGATAGGTAAATAAAGAATGTCACAGAATATGTCCTGGATTCAGTACACATGATACAGGTAAAGAACCTTTCAGATAAACAGTCATTTATAGAAACACTAGAAATACATGTACAGATCTGTTTGGATCCACTAGACAGATGTTTTATAACTTCAGTAGGACTGTTATCACATGCTTTTTTGTTACAGGTCAGTTGGTGTTTGATGTTTTGGGCCAGTCTGAGATCCAGGGAGTGAATAATGTCACCAGCACGCTGTCAGAGGCCTTAGTACAGCTAGGCAAGCAGGAAAATGATGTAAGTACAGTAGCACTTTATTTATCCGAACACTTGTGTTCCAGATCAAATTAACCAGATTAATGAGGTGTCTGAATCACTATAAACCAACTATTATTCGCGTCATTTTTTATTCGTGATTCGTCAGTTTGAAGTCAATCCACGAAGATGAATTTTTTGCGGCTGAGGAAATATTCTCAACAAATTGTAAAGCAAAATAAATGGTTCACGGCAATTAATATTCCCAAGTTAAAGTAGGTCGTGAAACTCGCGAATATTTCTCGCACGCAAATAAAAGTTGGTTTACAGTACTGAATCATTTGGTATATATAAAAGTAAATAGTTCTCCACAAATTGTGTCTGGAGTGTGAAGCATCTGAATTAGAATTTGAGTTGGAAATTGTATTTTTAAAGAAAGTTACACATTTATGAAATTTTGGTTAATTACAGTATATTTTAGGGGCCTTGTCATTTTGGCCTTCTCAGTCACTCTCTCTTTTATCCAATCTAATTAAAATTAGATGTTCCGAATCCGCTACTGCTTCTCAAAGATCTAACAACATCCCATTCGGGGTCACGTCAGAACGACCTTTCGATTACCCAATGAAATCGCCGTCTCTGAAATCTTGGCTTCTAGTTCGGATGTGTTTCTTTTTTTACTGCTAAACCTAAACGCCCGAGGGGTTTCGTAGTAAACAAAATATGCATGGTAAAGACCGTGCTATATGTGAATGTGACGTGTGGGGTATATAGACGTATACATGTAGTTTGTGCATTTTCGTTTGCATTATTTAGGTAAGAATGCCAGATTGGCAGATTATTCGTTCAATGCATACTAAAATTACTTTAATTCAATGTAAGACAGTCTACTGAGCATCAATGATGTAAAGATTGTAGCTGTGGAACTAATTTTAGAATCGTATACAGAAGGTTGAATCTGATTGGCCAAAATTTTTTTTATGTTTATTCATAATCGAAAGGTCGCTCTGACGTGACCTCTAATGGGATGTTGGTAGATGTTTCAGAAGCGGTAGGGGATTCGGAACATCTAATTTTAATTAGATTGTCTTTTATCCGTAATCACAGATAAAGTGAACTTAATTAAATTAGACTGAGTCAAAGAAAAATTGAGCTTAATTTCTGTGCCATTAAATAATAAGTGCATATAATTTTGGTGTAACAGGTGAACTCCCTTGAGTTTCTAGGACAGTACCTACTAGAGAAAGCCGGAGTTGATGATCTCACCTTCACCAGCTCACTAGAAAAGGTAAATTCATGTATACAGTTAGTCTTATTGTGGCCTGCATTCACTGAAGTGAGGGACCATTAAATCTTATTTGTCTTTCAGTCTGTCATAAAAATTTCAACCTTGTTCAAAACGTATGAATAAGAGAAGATGGGAATTTCACATGTTTACAATCTTTCTGAGTGTACTAAAATTTTTGACTTGATGAGCTTACATTCGACCTTCTTTTCAAAAGTTTTAACATTGCCAGTGTCTTTTGAGCACAAGAAAATAGGTTTTCATATGTCACATGTGCTATCTTGATATTGAAGTTTGACTTATTTTTCATAAAAGTCTTAACATTACCAATAACTTGAATAAGGGAAGAAAAAGGCTTTCGTATTTCAAATGTACATGTATATTTCCTGTGATAACACCTTTCAAGGAGTACTATGATTTTTGACCTCCTTGCCTACACTAGTTTGTCTATCGAGAGCATTAATCTTATTTACTAACTTTTGCACCAGAAAATCTGCTTTCAAAGTATAAACTTTTTTTGACGTGGGATGGTTAAACCAGAAGATACAAGCAGTTCCAATATGCTGTAAATCATTGCACCCCAACCAGTGAGGCCTTGAAAGTGGGAAACCACAATACTCTGATTTGCTAGTTCTGAAATCTGTGTTAAGGATGAAAACAAGTTTAATCTTACATAAATTTTGAAAAAATTTTCAAGCAATATTGTAATTGTAAGTAATGAAACTACTAAATGAAGAGTAAATTGTGAAATTGAAGTTTGACTTACAGGTAATAAAGATTAACAAACAATTGATGTTGGATAATAAAACTGTTGTGCTTTTTTTCATTTGTTTTAGTCCCTCATACCAGCTGAGCGTTACGAGGATGAGGATGAAGAGGTCACTAGGATCAATGGTCAAGGTCAAACTGAAGGTCAGGAGGAAGAGGTCAAGGCCGACTGGGGAGGTAAAGAAATTTTATCACACCTTGTATCATGAAGAAAGAGTTGTGAGAGCATGATAAAAGTTATGTTTTTGTTGAAGAATGTAGTGTGTTTTTTCCCTTTAGATGGAATACTGGATGTGTAATAATTTTCATTCTGTATGAAGTAACATTTTTTTTATCCTTAATATTAGCATCATTTTTTAAATGTATGCTGGGGAAAAACACTTTGTATTTGGTAGATATGTTAAAGACTTCATGATATGTTAAATTCAAAGTCATACATAAAATGCAAATTAATCATCATTAGAATATATTACTGGGGGAGGAGGGAGATAGAAATTGTGTTCAAGAAATTCATATGAAGTAAAGAAAGTCAAGTATATAACAAAATTGTTTAAAAAAAAAAAAAGGGGGATCTAATTGTATTAAATTATAATGAATTAAAATCTCTTTACTTCATTATAATCAGCTTCCTGAATTAACATCCAATATGGGAAACGGGAATAATTCAGAATTTTTTTTTCTATTTCCTGTTATGCTTATAAATTGATCAGTGCATGCTTTATTTCTCCAGTTTGAAAACTGTCATCATGTAAATACACCGTATAAGCTGTGATCATAATTATACTACATGTATTATGCATTGTGCATTAATTAGTTAGAAGTCTGTTTATACAAGTTTATCATCCATTTGCATATTGAAAATAGATGAAATACAAGTAAGTGTTCCGTAAGGATATTTGTATAAAGTTCAAATGGCAAAAAATTAACAGCAAACGATAGCACAAAATTCATGATGTACAACCTTATTTCTTAAATCTTTAAGCAACGAAAGTTTTTCCTCATTTCATGCAGCACTCTGTCATTTTACTTTCTCTGCTTGCTTGATGCAGACATTGAACCAGAGGATCGAGAAATAGAAAATTACTACACACAACACCATGATCATGATATTACTGGTAATTAAGTCATTGTCCATCAGGGGTTGTATCAAAAGTTTTTAAGCACAGTATACTTTTTTATCAAATTTGATAAATTATTTTCAGCTGTATTACAAGATCCTGTTTTAGATAAAAAAAAATCTTTTGATGTGATCCCTACACACATTTCATTATCTACATTTAGCTTTGCATGATACATAGCATTTACATCTATAGATGTAAAGAGTTTTATATACTTTATATTTGTAGAATTTCATTGCTGTAGTATTCTGTATATATCAAACTTGAGGCTGTTCAGAAATACATTAATGGGGAAATTTTTAAGGTATCTCTACCACTTTATTTACAAAATGGAACTACTACCTTTTTACCCCCCCTTCCCCCCCCCCCCCCCCCCTCATAATACACACCCTTCTATCTAGGGATTGAGAGCCTAGAAGTTGGATATTTCAGCCCGGATCAAGAGTCAGAAGAATAGCATAAGACAAGTTTAGAACTATAGAAAGCTCAGTTAGTGAGTGTTTTACCAGCCTGACTTTTAAAAGCTGCAAATATTATTTAGAGAACAAGATGTTTCTCTTTCTTAGATACAAGTTAGGGGATGGATGAGTGCATAGCATGAGTCTCTGTCCTTAAATTTGTATAGATCTATGATACAGAACCTGGCATGCTCCATACCTGCCTACACTTCCACTTTTGGCTGATTTCTTATCACTTAATTACCATATATACTCGCCTATAAGTCGGATTTTTTGGGAGTTAAACTTTGGTCCAAAACTGTATGTCCGACTTATAGGCGAGTTTTAAAAAGACTGGTATTTTAGAAGGTCAATCCCTCTAATTTAAGCTTAAAAAATACAACCGACTTATAGGCGGACCGACTTATAGGCGAGTATATACGGTATGCTATAATGCCATTAAAATCAATTTTATGCTTTTAAAAAGTCATGTTTAAAAATTCTGTTATATAGAGTCTTATTTTTTTTTTTCATTCGCAACTTTTGAGTTTAAGTACGACCTACTAATATGATCTGTAAAATACTGTTTATATTAAGGAGGCTATAGTCCTTCAGGAGTGCAGTACAGAAAATTATTTATTGTAATAGGATGGCTTCAAACCTAAACACACAGCACATGCCCAAAATTTGGAAGGAGCGGATGCAATGATTTGTACTGATAATATGTGATTGAGAAAATTTGATATTTTACATTCACAAGGAAATTTTAAATTAAAAATTCCAAATAGGGAAAAAAAATTGTTGTTGCTATTTGTGCTTTGTATTATCGAATCAGAATCAATTTTGTTATTATTCTGTATTTTATAAATGGAACAGTTGGCTAATTAATACAACACAGTATATATAGGGCTTATACAGTACAGAAGATAGCTCCATTAACCATAGTCCTGTACTGTATTGATTATACAGAACAGTAAACTTCAAAGAAAAACACCACAGTCATGTCTCAATTTTGTCTTATTCTCTTTCCTAACCTATCTCAATTCAATATGAATGAAATTTAGGAACAAAATCCATACATCCATATTTACATATATTCCTAAAGTAGCCTTGCAAGGTGGAACATTTTAACTCAGTCCTTCCCAACTATGGCTTCTGAAGAATTCAATCTATTTGAATGATGTCCAGTTATTTTTGCTTCTAATGTTTTCTTTAAAAAGAATATTAAAGTGTTGAAAATTAAAGAAGCCTACATATATTTCTCCATGTTTGGTAATTTCTCGAACAACTCATGACAATGTCTGCTTGATTATGTATTTCATGCTTAATATACATATTATATATATATATATATATATATATATATATATATATATATAGTAATAATTATGTTGGTTTATTTCACACTTAATATAAGTATTATATATATGTAGTAATATGTTTGTATATTTCATGCTTACTATATATATTTGTTACTGTTCTAACTCACGATTATCTTGTCAGTATGTGATCTGTGTGCAAGGTTTGAGAGGTATAGGAAATGTTCTACGTCATGTGGATGTACGGAGTACATTACTGAGTGAACACATTTTACATTGCACATACATGAAATATTCAGACACATACATTCCTGTGATACAAATATAATCTGGCTCTGGGGCCATAAAACTTAGACGAGCTCACTTTTGATCTCAGTCTCACTTTTACAAAAGAAATATATAGTGGAAAAGTGAGGCTGAGATTGAAAGTGAGCTCATCTAAGTTTTATGGCCCCAGGGCCATTGATTATTTTATACTGTGAACCAACTTTTATTTGCATGTAGGAAATATCTGCGAGTTTCACAAGCTTCCTTAACTTGTGAATATCTACTTGTATTTCCTCAAACTGTTTATTTATATGATATATGATTAATGTAGTATTTCCACAGTTGTAAAGATTAATAGTGTCTAATTGATTTCAGACTGATGAATTGCAAACAAAAGTTTTTGTTTACGATATATCATTCAATAGAAATAAAAGTTGGACTACAATTATTCCATGTATGCATGTGTACTTGCTATATATTTAATATAACTGTAGATGTTTACTAATAGTTAGGCCAACATTTTTTTATTTTCTGTTTTACGGGAATTTTTTTCAAAAATTTGAGTCGGGGGGTCAAAATAAAAATAAAAATAAAAGCTCGAAATTTAAGCAGTCGGTCAAAAAAATAAAAATAAAATGAAAAAATGCAATAAATTTTTTTATTTTTAATTAAGGTTGCAATTTTATTTGTATGACCTTAATTTGTTAGAAAAACAGTGCTATTTGAAAAACTTATGTACACAAAACACAGAATTGGTACTGTTAATGGATCAATGAACTATTTTAAATTTAACTTTCTCTTAGATATTTGGGGCAGGGGTGCATTTCTAGTATAAAGCTTGCAGTTTCTAACATTAATGCAAATCAAACATACAAATCTATAATCTTCTCTCAGTTGTCAAATATCATATTGTCACCACAGTAAACCTATAGGACTTCTGTCACACCCCTCATAAACTTTTCAGAATCTTTTATTTTTCGGTATTCAGCAAATTACAAGATCTGAGGATTTTGGACTAGTTTTGGCAAAGTTATGGAGAAAATACAGTGAGACATTCAATGGATCAGCTAAAATAAATTAATTCACAGAAGTGCACATGAGACATGAAAAAAAGAAAAGTTGTATAATATTTTTTTTCAGCGCACTTCCAATTAATATATACGTAGGTGGAAAAAACGTACTACAATATCTCTATTGAAAACATATTCAAACTTCCTCAATCTGTAGTATATATATCTTTTTATCCTTATGTTTTCTTTCTGAACATGCTAACTTTCAATATAATTGTAGAAAATACACATCTTTCCCATAGTATACACATATAAAATACACATGACAATATTCTGTTTACTGCAGAATTTAAAAATTTAATTGTTGAAAATGGTTCTAATCCACAACTGTTGAATGAAAAAAGAAACCAGGTCTTGAATTGAAATAATATTTGTAAGGGCGTATCATTTACAACAATACTTTTCCCTAGTGGTAACAGGGACCTATATACTAATATATAGTATATAGGTCCCTGGTGGTAAAAAAAAGTTGTTTTACTAAACAAGAGCTATACATATATACACTACATCAGCTGATATGAATACGCTGAACAATCAATATACATTAATTTGTTACATAGCACGCACAATTCCATAAAGCGATAAAAAAGGAGATAATGTCTTGTATCAATCAAGCATATATACTGATATATCTTCGTAGGTAATTCTGAATTCCAATATTTGTCATAAAACGAGTGAAAGTTGTGACTCGAATTTCCTCAGTCACGCCACTTTCTACCAGTTCTACATAGTTCTAGTGTTCTGTCGTTACTTGTAAAAGAAAACATTTCTGTCTTAAAATTAAGTTTAAAAAAATCTTCAAGACGTATTTCAATGTATTGAAGCAATTGTCAAAGATAATACATACTCAGAACCTTTCAAAACAAGCGGTTGACAGAACCTCGATTTCCACGTGGCCCTCCGCATGTCATTTGATCAAGATCACTGATTCGTCTATTTCATTCAATCTTTCATTAAAATTTATACTTTTTCTAATATATAACATTGACATGTCACTTTTTAAAACGACTAAAAACACGTGAAACCCTCCGATTCTGACATTTTGGCGCTATGCTGTGCAGTGACTCTTCACGCAACGAATACTGTGATTGGATGAATCTATTTACCTCAGCCAATGACAAATCGCATTTTGAAAGGCTTGTATATTTCTTTTATTTTTTCAGAGACTATAAATAAACTATCGGCGGGAGAAATAAAAATAAAACTTGAATTGGGGACTTTTATTTTTATTTCATTTTAGCCCAAATTAGGGTCGGCGCTCCCGTAAAACAGAATATAAAAAAAAGTTGGCCTTATATATAGCACATAGTTAACCTGAGTAGATAATCCAAATGTTTTAAGAGACAACTGATAGGAACACAAAACGTGTCAGTGATCTTTAAGTTGCAGAAGATGTCACAATTGTAATCAAAATTATGGGACCAAACAGTGCCTAATAATAAGCCAGTGTTTCATAAGTGCTCCTCCAAAAAAATGAAGTTATGTATGGTTTATTAAGATATAAATGTGCTAAGTATTGCTTTTGACATATATTTTATCTTGGTAATATAAATATGTGTCCTAATACTGTAGACCCTCCCCCACTAGATGACTCTTCACATCAGATGGACGAGGAAAACGATGATATTGCCAAAGACAGAAGTCTGAGTGGTAAAACATCACAAAGCTTGTAGTATATTTATAATACTTGTATTCTTATAAAGTCACTTTCCCTTTCAGACTATTTCAGTATGAAACTCTTTTAGTAGTTGCTTTTCAGTTGTGAAGAGTTTTTGAGTTTTGCATGATTTAAAGGTGAAAAGACTGCATTTAACATTTCTTGAAGTAGGACTCCATTTTCTTTTTTTTTTTCTTTTTTTTTTGGTGGAAGATTATACTTTCACTATAAATGTGCTTTTGAGTAAAAGACACTGATGTGGTGGCTACATACTTTTATCACCTTTCACTATATATGTATATCTTCCTGTATATTTTCCTGGAAGGAAACAGCTCTGACATTTTGTTTTCTTTGCTTTTCTTGTATACTGAATTTCTTCACTGATTTATTTGCTTTGGAGAAAATCAATACCCCTGTGCTCTCCATTTTGGTGATTTGTTTTGAAATTGTTTACATGTATATGAATATATCTTTAACCATGTTAATGACAGATGATTCAAACAAAATAAATAGAATGTATGGATTGGTATATGTATTTTAAGACCTATGATTGCTAATGGTGCAGATATCAATTTTAAGAAATTGTAAGCTTCTTATGATGTTCAAAATGCTACTTTTCTGCCATCATCCTTAAAATTCTCAAATTTTATATCACTTTATAAGACATTATCGTGAAACTCTGAATGACAATTTTCATGATTTTTTGGGGAAAAAAAGTTTGTGTCATCTGTTCTTAATTGTGAACCAGTATTTTGAGACTCTTCAACTTATAAAGAACATTTGGGACCATCAGATTCAATTTTCATTCTTGAGTGTAATAATTACCTTCAAGTACATTTTTCTCACATAATTTGAACTTCGACTTTTTGTTAACATGAATACGATAAAGTACAAAATATTTTTTTTAAAAATCATGTTTGTGAATTACATTACAATTATGCAGGGTGTTTCATAATATATGTCACACATCTAAATGGGCATAATCGGAATATCAAGCATGATACCAAAAATACCAAAATACCATAGACAAGCATATTTATCTAAAATTATGATAGTGCAAAATATCGGGAAAATTATAATTCCATGAAGTACACTGATGATATAATCAGTGATGTCATAATTTCAGTTGTTCTCAAAATGGAGTACAACTAGAATTTAAAAATTTGAATTTGTAAACTTTTATTATAAGCACGATATCCTATATATTCTACAGGGTGTGATGAAGAAAAATATCCAGACCAGAAAGCCCTGTCTAGATTTTATTTATTAACGTAAATAAATAAAAATAATAAATATGCACTTTGGGGGTTCTAAAAATCTAGATATAATCAAGAAAACTGTCAAGTATCCTGTGAAACGTACGAAGCTGTGGTCAGAAATCTGAACACGAGTCTTTTAAGCTATTTAGGACAATGGTAAGGAAACACGTGTAGTATAACATTTTAGGAAATCGTTGCCATAGAAACTGAAATGGAGAATATTGGATACTTTTGACTTCAAATAATAATTTTGAATATCTGCTGATTAAAATGATATATAAAATGTATATGTAGCTTTAGTTGTAATTTTTCTTTCTGCCTTTAGATGTGTGACATTTATTGTGAAACACCCTGTACTTTCATTTTCATTGTGCATATACGAGAGTGTCCTGAGTCAAGTTGTAATGTTTGATTTTTTACAGAGACTGTCAGACCCCCAGCAGACATGCCAGAGAAAGCACAAATGGAACAAAGTGAAAAAGAAGAAAACAGACGTCAAAGACAACAAAAAAATCAGCGACTTGTTCAACAGGCAGACAATTTACGAGTCACTTTCGGCTCAATGAGGCTCACCGGCAAATATGAACGACTGGTAAAATTGGCATATATATTGGTGTAATAAAAGAAAATGAAATTTAATATTAAAAGGAAACTTTTTAAATGTTGTACATATCCACTAGGAAGTTTATTATATCTGAGAGAAAATTTAACTGAATATCAACTGTTAAAAAAGCTTTCATTCATTTTGGACCCAGACTAAGGTAATCTGATACAGAGAAATCATTTCCTTTAAGAGTGCTGAATTTTTAATAGCTAAAAAACCTCAGGTGAGTTTGAATTTTAGAGTGCTAAGCAATTCCATGACCATCCAGAGAAGAGAACGCCCATCGCCATGGAGATACTGAGTAGCGAGGTGGAGTACAACAGAACTCTTCAGGCAGTGAAGGATGTTTATGTCAAACCTCTCAGAGCCGCCTTAAACTCAAACAGGTAGTTCTAAATTTGGTGTACATTATGCCTTTAAGTGTCTTGATAGCATTGGAGTTGGAGGATACTGTTTTATGTTACTTGTATGAAGGACACATTAAAAGTAGTTCGTTCGTTCAGAATATATCTGTCCACCTGTGTGTGTAGGGTCATGGTTTTACAAAAATGTAAAACTTGTACCCAGAAAGATGTTTTCTTGTAACTCAATGAAAGTGGATGAGCTAACAGAGGTCAGTACCATGGAAAGATAAGGTTACAAACTTATTCCTTAAACTCTTTAGTTCCTTGTTCACGCTTGAGTGAAAGTTTTTTAAAATGTATATTTTGGGGGAATTCAGAGCAAGTTGATAGCTCAGATTCCAATTTCTGGTTTATCTCCTCCTTAATTGTTGGATCACCTAAGTTACTCTCTGACAGATGAACAAAATTCTCAAATTTTTATGAAGGCATGCCCATTCATTGTGAAATCAAGTTTGAACAAACTATGGCCCCTAAGGCAGGTTGAGGCCACATAATGAATTTAAGGCTTGATAGAGAAAATTTCAACAAAAAACATTTTCTATTCAAGAAATACAAAGCCACATTTTGTCGATTTTACTTGAAAATTACGTTTTTATGGGGTCGATCTTTCGTGGTTTGAGGAAAAAATATTGTTTTATCATGTTCCTGGGCATTTGACTTTCTAGTTAAGGAAGTGTTGAGTAGTTATATATTTTACATTTCATTGAGGATATAAATTCTAAGGTGTCTTTATACCACAAAACAACAAAATTTAAATCCCCACGAAAATGAATGATTTCACAGTATTTACATACATCATTATATATCAAAGATCCAAAACAAAGGTTTAAATTGTCGGATATTATGAAATTTGAAAATGTCATAAGTGTAGTGTAAATTCAATTATGTTTGAAAGCAGAAGTGCTTTCAAGTTTTACAAAGGGTTAAATAAGAAAATGAAAGAAAGTTTTACACAGGGGGAAAAAAACTTGCATTATGACATTCAGGTGACAGAGCCCATGAGCCTCTTGTTTAAATGTGGAATCTTAATATATTTTCTATATTTGAAATTTGAAAAATATATATATATATAAAAGATTTAATGTTCTTTTTTTTAATTTAATACATATGTACTAAAAAACATACAGCAACAAATTCACAAACATTTACGTTGATTACACTTGACCGACTTCACTTTGTATACCGTAGCAGTTGAATGATGCCTTTTTCCCCATTCCCCACCCACATTTGCCCCTCGCCATTTACACATAATGACCTCGGCTTGGACAAACCAAGCTCTTTACACTGAATAAGTAGTTGGAGTTCACATGCCTCGGATAGAATGTGAATTTTACTGTTGTCACTATCTGCGACTATGATGTGGTTGAATTTGTCGGTGGCAATCCCATATGGAACAAATGAACCTTTTGGAGGACGGTATGTAGTTTGAACTAATCCACTGAGGCTGACAACAAAGACGGACTTTCTTACTTTGTCTGATACATATATGTTTGAATTTTCATTTACTGCAATATACCATGGGTATGTAAACATGGATTTTCCAGTAGAACTTTTCTCTATGCTGTTTTCCAGTTCTCCAGAAGAAGTATAGCAACTGATTTTTCCTCGTTTATCATTTGAAAGACCAACAAAGATTTTATTGGCAGATGAACAACTAATTCCACCAGTGGGGGACCAGTCCCTACACTGAATAAGATCCATATTTGTTTTCTTCTGAGGGGAAAACTGACTAATTGTTCTTCTGCCTTTATCAGTGGTCAGTAAATGTCCTGCTCTGTTGACCGCTAGGCCTTGCATCTCATTGATTTCCATCCAGTCATTGACATTCCTGGTGAAATACTGGGTCCCTATATCTCCTTGTTTATTTACCTGTATCACCTGAAACTTGTTCATGGAGATCCAGATGACTCCATCTTGACCCTGTGAGATGTCCATGTTGGTAGATGAACTGACCTGAAGTTTCTTTAGAATTGTCACATCCCCAAGAGTAGGTGGTTGAATGGGATTTGAGTTTCGGGACACGGACACTTGGGCCTGAAGAAAAGGTTTGTCAAGTATTCCAAGGTCTCTCTTTATACTGGACTCTTTTTCCTCTGACCAGCAGATATATTCTCTGGAACCAATGGAATTCTGAAAGCTCTTTAAATTGTCTATTTTCTGTTGTACTTCAGTATCTGTATTGGAGCTTGTTGTTGACATTTTGTCTACATTATTCACTAAACTTTGAGCAGTTTCCAAATGGTGTTGAATTTTTTTCTGTAAATCTCGAGCAGAATCCAGTTCAGATTTTTCAATATCTTTCAGTTTTTGTTCATCTTTGTCAAGCTTTTCTAGAATCCCTGTGATTTTTTTCTGTGCAGTGGTATTAATTTCTGTCCGCACCTTTGAGATCCCTGCCTGAAAGTCTGTGATCCCTGTTTGGATGTTAGACAACCTGGATTGTAAAGTAGGTATTACTGAGGTCCTCAGATTTTCATCATCAGACAGGGAAGCCAACATTCTGCTTTGTTCCTTGCTTAACACAGAGCACAATAGATTCACAAATATCTAACTCAATCTTAAGATTTTATCCAGTCCTGAAGGTGGTGAAGTATCTCTAAGGATATTAATTTTGTCTGTTCCAACCAAGTACTATAATCACATGTTGTGCACTTGAGTTTTCCCAAATTGTCAAGGATTTTTGCTGAGTCCAAAGTTTCAGGGGGAAATGTCCTATTTGTGAACAAAACAAATTTTTTTATTACTTCCTTGCATGAGAAATCTATATTTCCCAGTGTAAAGAGAAAAAAAGTGATGTCACACTATTGATTTCAAATGAAAATGTCAGTATAAGTTCCTATTTAATGAGTAAGTGTCACCATACACATAACACTGTTGACAAAATAAGAGCTTATTTCCTCTTCTGAGGAGGTAATTTAGTATGAAAACTTTTTGCTTTATTTTTCAGGGCAATAGCAAGTTTTCAAAATGTGCAGATTATTTTTACTGACTTGCTGCAGTTGTTGGATGCAAGCAGGTAAAAACAAAGGCAACCAAGACATTCTGCATTGTTTTAAAGATAATAAATTATGAACTAAGGTTCAACCTGATTTTTTTCCCCTTTTATTCTTTGTTATATTTAATAAAAGAATTCTAATTATCAGGTTTTGTTATAAATCTTAACTAAAAAATTATTTCCCTTTGCAAGTTATTTATTTGCGGTAAGAAAAAAAGGAAATCTATAACTACTCATTGTTTACTATGTTAAGAGTTCCTTCCCTTAGATCACAATTTATATTCATTCTTTTTATAGGGAGATGCTTGGAGACCTGAAAGATCGCGTAGCTGAATGGGATGCTACCCACTCCTGTTTGGGAGATATTTTTGTGCGGTTTTGTACCCATCTTAAGTTGTACACTAACTTTGTCAATAACTATGATGTCATCTTACAATGTATAGAACGGACCAAAGAGCAAACCCCTGCTTTCAGAGCTTTCCTAAAGCGCCATGAGAGAATTCCTGCCACTAGGATGATGACGTAGGTTCAGTGCTTGACTGACATTTTGGAGATTGTTATTGAAACAAGAACATGTTTGGAAACTGAAGATAAATATTACAGCATTCTATTACAAATTCATAGCAAAGAACCAATGAAGAATTTTGTATTTAAATATCAGTTAGTTAATTTTATTCTTCCTTGAAGTCAATACAGGTGACTCTCGATGGCTCGAACTCCGATCTCTCGAAGTTCTCGATCTCTCGAAGTGAACCTCCGGTCCCGTTTTTTCCCTCTATATAACTAAGCAAATTTACTTCCGATCTCTCGAACTTCCAATCTCTCGAAGTTCTCTATCTCTCGAACCAAGACCTGGGTCCCGTTACACACATTTCATTGTTTTTTACTCTCTAGCTCTCGAAGTTTTGATTGCGCGTGTGTACACTCCAATCAAGCGTAAAATTAATGCAGCTTGGACTTACCTGGATAACAGTGAACGCCCGGGGTGGGCATGGAGGTGTTAATTGGGTGTTTACATAGATGACACTATACCTGTGAGCATCCGAGTGTTGATATAAATAATTAATTGGTTATAATTGGTAAATTAGACAGGAATTGCTTCACAACTTATTTTGACTTGACAGCGAGACGAAAATTTTTAGAAAATAATTTAAGAGGCGTGTCAATAATTTTCCATAAATTATGAAGTTTTATTAGAGTGTACATAGTCCCAGTATGACAAACATTGCACAAGAAATCCTATCTCAAGAATTAAATACCGATCAAAATACGATCATTGTTGTTGAAATCAAGTGAATTACCTGTAAAATACGCATGAAAACGTTCAATGATATTATCAACATATTCTTCCGGTATTTATAATAGTAGAACAATGATGATAGGAACTGAAAATTCCGGATTTTATTCACTTTCTATCTCTCGAACCCCTCGATCTCTCGAACTTTTCTTGCGGTCCCTTGAACTTCGAGAGATCGAGAGTCACCTGTATATAAGTATTTAACTATAATACTTAATGTAAAGAACAAAACTGGGGAAAGATATGTTGTTTTTTTAATAGTCACTTCAAAATATTCTCCATGACATCCTTGTATTAAAGGTTACCTGAGTTGCTGCTGTTGCCAGGACGACGGATCAATGAGTATGTGACTCTCTTGAGTTGGTTTGAGCTCCATACTCCTTCCACTCATCAGGACCGAGCTGACCTTGCGGATGCCATAGCAACACTTAAGGTTGTCAACAGGCATGTGCAAGAGGTTTGTATACAGGGTTACTTCCCTTTACACATTGAAGAGGAAAGTGATTGTTAACTGTAGAAGTATTTTTTACGATGAGGGATTAATTTATGTTATGTACACAGTCTCAGTTTTTCCATGGAAATTTGTCACAACATGCTAGAAATACATCCAGGGCATATAATGACAATCCAAGAAATACATGTAATTTTCTACCTCAAATTAAACAGAAATAATGATTCCTCGGAATTATGACCCCATGGAAAAAAAGTATGTTGACAGTAACTGAGTGTTGTTTGATGATAAGAGGAAAGTTCTATAAGAGTACTGTAAATCTCTTTTTATTTGCAAGAACTTTATTTTCGTGTAATTACGCGAGTTGGTCTGCTCGCAAAAATTTCATTCTCACGTATATTTTCATTTGTATAGATTATATACAACTTTACCTATAATTCATGAAAATTTTGTCTTGCTTATAAATACCAAATACCTATGTCACGAAAATAAGGTGTCACAAAAATTTGGTGATCTACAGTAACTGATAAAATGCGTTATTTCATTTGTTTTATAACAGAGCAAGACCAGGATGGACAGAGACAGAAAAATGATAAAGCTACAGAAGACTATACTTAACTGCCCTGTGAGTTATTTCATACATAACTACTCAGTGATTTATTTCACACTTAACTGCCCAGTGACTTATTTTTCACTTAACTCCCCAGTGAGTTATTTCATACATAACTACCCAGTGACTTATTTCACACTTAACTGCCCAGTGACTTATTTCACACTTAACTGCCCAGTGACTTATTTCTTACTTAACTGCTCAGAGAGTTACTTCATACTTTACTGCCCACAGAGTTGTTTTTTTTTACTTATTACCCTTATGTTAAACTGCCCAGTGAGATATTTTATGCTTAAAAGCTATCTATTGTATCCATGGCCAACTCTACTGACCAACTCACCAATTATGTAAGAAAGAATTATGCAGTAAGGCCTAATATTTGATAACAAATTGATAGATTTTTGTGTAAACTTTATTAACATTATGGTATTAGAGGGTACAGTGTTACATTTTTTTGTTTTGGGGTTTTTTGTTTTTTTTTTTTGGAAGGGGGGGGGGAGCTCAAATTCTAGAGGATGGGGATAGATGAAATCATTACTGTTGTTGGTTTGTCTACAAATTGCTTCAAAGGATTATCCTTTGTTTTTGTTGACATTAACAGAGTTTACTGGAATCCAACAGATACCTCATCAAACATCAAGATGCTGCCAATATGAGACCACCATCAAATGATAGCACTGTCCCAGAACTCAGGTAAGACCACTATCAAACAAGAGCCCTGCACCAGAACTCAGGTAAGACCACTATCAAACAAGAGCCCTGCACCAGAAATATGGTTAGCACGGTCCCAGAACTCTGGTGAGCATTTCACCAGAACTCCGGTAAGACCACCATCAAAGGAGAACACCATCCCAGAACTCAGGTAACACACTTCAGGAATAGTGGAACAAGTATGAACATTGAACCTATGCAATTCTATGAGACCACTGTAGCAGAACTCAGCTGAGTTTAGAACCCTAACAAACAGGACAGCTGTACCAGAACTCAGTTGAGTGTAGAACACTAGCAAATGAGACCAAGCTTCCAAACTTTGTTTAGTTCACTGTCAAATAAGACTACAGAACTAAAACTAAATGAAACCTACCTTCAACTAAGATTTTTAAATATCTGAACCTAGTTTGGTGTTGTTTTCCATGTAAATAAACCACTATACGTGAAGAATGTCATCCGCTATCCTTAGAATCACTTCAACATATTGTTACAGTCTTATTTTAATGCACTCATATATTCCTTATTTTCACAGGAGAATAAAACAATGAAAATTTCACTGCAGTGAAATTTACTGAAAAAATATATAATCAGTAAAATGAGAATACAAGCACAAAGTCCACTAACTGAAGAATGCAGAAAGAAAAGTTTTCCTTAAAAAATGTTAAAACATTGTATAAACTCAAAGCTCATGTATACAGCATAAATTATGTAGAATACCCTGGACTACTATTTTTAATCAGTGTTTTGTTCACTCAGCCATTTACACCCTTATTTTTCGTTTCACAGACTGACTAAGTTTCTGTTAAGCTTTCCTTGTTTCATAATTATAGTTTGTATATACAGTAAAACAAGTTTATAGCTTGCAATTTTGTTTCGTTACAAACATAATTCATTACATCTGTTAAGATAACAATAAATTTAAAAACCACAGGGATTGAAAATCACTTTACTGTAAGCTCGAATTCATTATAAGTGTGTTCGCTATAACCATGTTTTACTGTAATGTGTGGATTTGTTAAGAAGGAATAGAAAACTAAAGGATGGAAAATTGTTAGGACATGGAGCATGTATAACAGAATTCCCTATCATTTAGAAAACACTCTCAGTGAACATTCTATAATTTCTTGTAGGAGTATATCCTTAGTTTTGCTCTAGGTTGAAGTGATATGATCTGTAATTTTGCATATTTTTGTATGTGTGATTTAAAAATACAATAGAGGTAATTCCAAAAACTTGGGGGGGGGGGATTTAACAGGCATGGTTTTTTCCCACTTTAAAGCGGAATTCCGCTATTTCAATTTGCCCAATCCGCTATAAAATTTGTATTCTGCTTTTTTAAGTACCTCAGTATTTTCCAATTATACTATTTTAGTCTTTTTGCTTCACTTTATTCCTATTTTTATTGATTAAATGTAACGTACAATTTCATTAGTTCTTGGATTTTAGAAACATTAATTCAAACAATTATTGAAAGTTTTACTAGAAGCATCCATCGTGGTAATGGATGCTAAAATTGTACACTGTGAATAAAGTCTAGAGAATCAAAATTGTTAAAGATGCCGTTCGAAGTATTTATTCAGCCAATTGTTGAAATATTTATTGGAAATGTCGATTCTTGTAACAGATGAAATTGATGAAATAACAGGTGAAAGACGACATGAATTGATAAACAAAAATATCAAGGACTATGGTAAAACGTTGGTAAAAGTAACATTTGTAAAGGAGATGGGTGAACAAGGCATGCAGAATGTCTATAGCTTCAGATATATAAAAATCATAATCAGTTTGTGAATTTAGTATTCAGAGTGAAGTTCTCATTATTGAAATTTATGAAATTATGATAAACAAAACTTTTCTGCTGAAAATTATCTCTGCAAAAATTATTCTGTTATTATAAAATTTAGGGATGTCAATTTTGTCGATAATTCATATTCGAATATTCAATGAAAGTATTCGAATATATTCGAATATTCAATAAAATAGATATAATCTGGTTTATTTTAAATGTGCATCATCATACTCTCATGACAGGTTTTGCGTCGGTTTTTGGAAGTAAAGCTGGATGTAGAGCTTTGAAGGTGTATAATAAGGAATTCTACATTTGATATTTGTCAATGTTTGAAATAATTCATTGATTTAAGCGTGTACAACCGAAATATAATTTTAACAAAGAATATCAATACAAGCTCTCAAACTGACGAACCAGTCATCTAAGCAGGGGCAAGATTGTCGCTAACTCTTCATATCTGAATACATGTAATTAATTACAATTACCTGCCTAATAAGAGATATTATCTCTTTGATACAATGTTTTGAAAATATAAACAAACACTTCCATAGACTATTTTCATAAGTCATTAGCGTCCCGATAATGATTTTAAAATATAGGAATATATTCAACCGAGATAATCAATTAATTGAAATTGAATTTTACCTTACTCGAATCAAAATAATTTAGAAAATCTTTTAGATAAGAAAGTACAAAAGAAGTAAGAAAGAAATCAGGCGATCGAAAATGATAGCTCGTTATAAAAAAAAATAATGGGGATAATTCCGCACTCTTTTTTGTGAAATATGAAAAACACTGAATATTCGAATCTTAAATTCATATTCGAATATTAACGCATCGAATGAATATTCGAATGTTCGAATATTCGTTGACATCCGTAATAAAATTATGTGGTATTCGTGGGGTTCGAACCCCTAGCAATAAAAATCCTGAGTATCATTTTCCTCTGAGACTAACACGCTAACCACTATGCTACAACGCTCTTGATAAATTCTGGCATTTAAATCATGTTTGTGATATGACCCTTGACTAATTTTGAAAAGATGCGAATGTTGTGTCATAAAAGTGTATTTTTAAGATATAGTGGGTCTTTGCTCCATTCTTTTGTTGACCAAAAAATATTTATTTTTTCGCAAACTTTGAGGATAAACTTTGAAAAATATGGAGCGAAGACCCACTCATATCGAAAAATTGTGTTATAGTATGAGAAAATGGTCCTTTTTGCCCTCTCTAGTGTGTGTATGCTATTTCATAAGCAAATAATTTCAATCTAAGTGAGATTTTTGCAAATTGTGGTGATTTTACATAAAGTTCATGTATACGTGAACTTAAGATGAAATATCAAAGAAAATTTTTACTTAATTGAGATTTAGTTTTTCACCTTCATGTTTGTTGCACTCGCCTTGTTCACCCATCTTCTTTTTTTCCTTAAAAAGAAGATAATTTCACAGTGAAAACTAAGTGCCAGGAAATGCTTAGAATGCAGGATTTTGCACCATTTACCCCAGAGCCTCTGGGGGGCCTAGGTGGCCCCCAGACCCCCGGCCTATATGGGGTTGTCTATAAATCCGCTTTTTTCATTTGACTTCAGAATCATGTCTGATTTAAGCACAGAAATTGATTGACCGTAGATAACCACTTATGAATCCTTTCTACTGAATTGGTGACGGAATTGCTATGATGCTTTATAGGCAGAGTTTTATGTTGTCATCTTGCATTTTAACTAAATCTTTCCTTTTTCTTTGAGAAATTTGCAATATTCAAAATCAATAGAACTTTTGCAAAGATTAGTAAAGTCATATTTGTATACCAAGTAATTTTCCTCATCAAAAAATATGTTACTGACTGTATATCCATTACAATGCTTAGAAGGTATGAAACAAGGCCTAACTTTTCAATTTACTATTCCAAGGACACTTTGGTATATAATATTCTCTATGATGAAATGTATGAACAGTCAAAAGAGCTGCTCAGTTTTGTAATCCATAAAAAATTGAATTGTAGAAACCTCCACTTTCGTGTCGTGTGTCGGCATGCTACACAGAGCTGGAAATAGAATATCGTGCCAACATTTCTCATATACTCACTCTTTAGTGTCAAGTTCAAAATCGTGTACATCAGCCAATGATGGAAAATTCTGTTCTATATATCTTGCTGTATGATTATATCATGTTCATGTTATTACATAAGCTAAAAGTTTATGTATGATACCGGTCTCCAGCAATTATATAGTCAAATCTTCTGGAGCTTGTAAAAAAGAATAAGATTTTTTTTAGGAGAAGAGTTTTTGGCTTTGGCAGAGATACCTAGATTTTATGTGCTTTTCTTATTTTTCTTGTATATAAAATGAGGTCATATGTCCTGTCTGATGCTGATTCTTAATTGTGTTTCTCTCCATAAAAGAGAGAGGGGAAGGTATATTAAAATTTTGTGGTAAAAATGAAAAAAAGCTATCAGACATTCATTATACTCCCACAAATGAAGATTGGGGTTGTATAAGAATCTGTTTGTCCAGCAGACTATGCCCATGCAATCATGTTTTGACAATAACTTTATAACGGAGAAATATTGGAAGGATGTACACAAAGATTGCTTATGACCTGGACCCGAAGCCATTCCAAGTTTAAGGTCACTTGTAGAAAAGAGTGTAAAATCTGTGTTGGTTCATAACTTTCTGATGGAGAAACTTTGGATTCATATAGTTTAAGGAAGTTGCTCCTACTGCTTAAGTTAGAATACCTGTTTCACTATAATAGTTTAGGAGGAATGTTTTATGAACACCTTGAATTCGTATAATGAAGAACTTAGCTAGACTGAACAGCTTGGCTTCTAGTTTTAAATGTTCATACTTTGTTGTAATTCATTCATATTAATGTTCAGATTGTAATCTATGAAAAATTTCATTTTCAAGAGTTTCACAGATAATCAGGTTCATTTAGATTTCACCTGCATACAGGGTTAATATCTCTCAGTTGATTCGATACGCAAGAGCATGCTCTAACGTATGACCAATTTCTAAAACGAGGTACGTTATTGACAAACAAGTTGATGAAACAGGAATATTATCAGTCTCATTTAAAGTCATCATTTCTTAAGTTCTATGATGGATACAATGACCTTGTCAGCAAATACAGTAGATTTTTCCATTATATCCCGATCATGACAAGGAGCACATGGCGGGTGTGAGCGGTTG